TACATTTACGATTGTAAATTACATTAATGGTGAAATCTCATGTGCTTCAACAATTTATTTGCATTATATTAATGCATTAAGGATTTTGAATTGTGTTAACATTGACAGCCCTAAATTACTTTGATCATTTTATATTTATAAAATTATCACTTTATTCATCTTTCACTTTATTATTCATCACATTATCACTTTATTATCACTTTATAAAATTATCATTTTATATATATAAAATGATCAATGGCAGTTTTCTTTTTTGGGGCAACTGTTCATTGGCCATCTATAAGGTGATGTGTTAAATCTGCGTTACCTCTTCTACAGGTCTTCCTCAGGGTTTCGGACAATTCCTTTCTTCCGATGTTTTGGAGGGTTCGTACAGTGAGATGCAGAGCCTCTCCCAGCTTACAGATCTCGATCATTTTATCAGCCACATCCAGCGGGTCAGTAAGGTCCGCGATCACCGGGGAGTTCTTCTTGAATTTGTAGTTACTGCTCAGACAACGCTTATAAAATGACATCTCTGATGGATGGAGCTGACTAAGACTTCTCACCATGGCCTGAATGAGACAAGGACAGAAACATCTGGAATATTTATCTAAATATAGTGAAAGATAAGTTGCATCAATTTAAAAAAGTTACTCTGATGTCTTCAAAAAACTCATAAAAATGTAACGCTTTGGAGCACAGACTTCAGTTTGATCTCATTTTAAAGGCCGAATTTAGTTTAGTAAAACAAAAGTATAAAAAGTGAAACAAAAAGTTGTAAATGTTGAAAAATGTTTTTGTCCCTGTATATTAGTGACAAGCCTGGAGAAAAATGATTTTGCAGTGTATTTAGATAGTTTGCTGAAAAAATAAAAAAAAAGAAAGGGAAAGGAGAATATGAACTAGGCTAGGCTTTGGAAAACAGGCTTGGCATGACAATTTTGCAAATGAAGATTGAGGCAAGTAGTTTTAAATTTTAGCACCATGTTGAATTGATCAATAAACCATTTCATGTTGCATTTTTGATGTTTAGTCAGTAGACGAAGGTCGTAGCAGCAAACACACTGAGATCATGATAAATGACAAACGATCGCAGGCCATTTTAATTGCAAGACTGGGAAAACAGCCATCTTTGAATCTCTCACTGAGTGACGTAGGACCACCGTTTAGGAGTAGAGCTGCACGATTAATCGCAATTTACATGTAATCGCACTTAAATCGAGTTGGCCTATCACGATTTTGAAATCGCAAAGGCTGCGATTATTTTTTATCTCTTTAACGCTGTTCAATCTGAAAGCACTGAGTTTGAGTCACTTACAATGAGCATTTGAAAAAGCAACAAGCGTCAAACATATTTCCAAACATAAGCATTTATGAACCTCCTGTCCAACAAAGACAACATTTAATAACATGCTTTTACTCCAAACTCACTTCATTACAACAGTTGAGCTCATCCTTCTGTGAGATGCGACACAGAATAAATAAGGCAGTCGTGTGTTTATCAGTCAGTTTTAATCAAAGCGTTTCAATCTTCTGTTTATTCAGCATATTTCCTGGAATGATGTGTGTTATCATTCTTCTGTGGCGGGGCATATTTAGAGTGTGTGTGTTTTAGATCGAGCAGCATTTAATACCGATCACAGAGCCGTACTTCACTGACAAGCTGCGCATAAAATAATCTCAGCCTTTACCAGATCGCGTGCGGTTTCATTGCGATTAATTGTACAGCCCTATTTAATAGAAAACTAATCAAACACAGCCACTGACCATTAGCACATGACGCAGGGTGAGGGAGGTGTGAGTGTGTCGAAACTGCAGACCAGCGCCCTCTGGAGGCGGCGGCGGAGGATCCTTCGGTTCCTCATAATGTACAACAATTTCATCGAAATCATAAACCGGCTCCGTGCCCTGCTCCTCCATCGCAGGACTTTCACTGGGCTGATCCGGCAGGTTGGGCTCACGCATCTCTTGGTCTCCCGGATCTTCATTCAGCGCTCGGTCTGTCCATTCAGACTGCACCTCAGATTGCTCTAGGGTCATGGGCTCCCTGTTAATGACAATGTAGTGAGTGTTTTGAGCACAGGTAAATTATTCATTTAGATGCATGTGTTGTGGATGTAGTTACTCGTGTCTTGAATGAGAGGGTTCTTTGTGCACGATGGACTGCTGTCGCAGATACAATCCATCTTGGTAAACGCTGGACTGATTTGTGTGTGTTCGTCCAGTAATCGCAGTCTCTGGTGATCCTGAACGGTAAAGACTGACCCTGTACAACATATAAACGTGATTAAATACATAAATGGACTATGAAATGATTCACATGTGTCCACAACATTATAAGTACACTAAAATTAAACAACTAAACAGTACTGCTCAAAAGTTTAGAAACGAAGGAAGTCTAATGCTCAAGACCTGCATTTATTTGATTAAAAAAAAAAATACAGTAAAAACTAATATTGTTAAATATTACTAAAATTTAAAATAATGGTTTTCAATTTTAATATCATTTAAAATGTAATTTATTCCTGTGATCAAAGCTGAATTTTCAGCATCATTACTCCAGTCTGTCTTCAGTGTCACGTGACCCTTCAGAAATCACTCTAATAAGATGATTTTTTTTATAACCTGTGATACTTTAACTTTTATTCTTCAATGAATCGTGAAAAAAGAACAATTATTTGAACAATATAAATCTTTACTAAGGCTTTTTATCAAGAAGGATCATGTGACACTGAAGACTGGAGAAATGCGCTGAAAATTTATTTAGGATAATAATTTCTCCCCGTCACACCCATTTACCTCAAAACAAGAATGAACCAAACAATTTCAAATGTTAATTAAAAAGTGACATGTTGTCTTGTACCATGTTCAAAAGTTGACAAGATCAAACCTTATTTAATATAAATAGCTTGTAGTTTCTATCAGTTTTGACATGATTAATCAAGCATTATATTCACTCCATCACATACAGCTTGTATTACTATTATTCATAGAATGTGTCTAAGATGTTTTTGTTTTACTCAAATTGTTTTTTGTGATAGTTAAGCTGTATATTACTGTACTTTGTTTCTGCATGTTTGACCGGAGGTTCAAAGTCATCTTCATCCTCCTCCTCCTCATCATCACTATGCATGGAGCCATAACTGCTGGGCGGCCGGCCTGCCATGACCCTTAAAAACAAATGTTCATATATCAACGTTAAAAAAAAAACAATATTACATCAGCTGAAACAGGCATGTGAGAAGTCATTGTAAAAAGCTCCACAACAATTTTTCACATGCATAACCGATACCTGTGATCCAGAGGCCAAAATTAAAAGCATACTAAAAAATACTAATGCTGAACCTTTTCTGTAATTAATGTACTTAAAAATCAAAGCAACTCAAGAGTGAAGTGAACCAACCTGACTGCCCACAAAATGTCTGAACCTGCAAAGACTGTACTTCTTGAATAGCAGATTGTATTGCAAGCTTCTTTTTTTTTGGCTGACAGGTTTTCTTTCCAACTAAGTGGCTTGTTATTTGATCAGTCAGGTTAGGGGTCTAATACGCATCCTGATGATCTTTGAACAGATAAACATCAGGTGAGAAAAAGTGTCTTCTCATATTTCCAATTCCAAACCATAAACAAGTTTGCTTGTCAGTTTTAAATGGAAAAACACAATTTGCCCAAAAATGTCAAGACATAAATATGAGAACACTTAAGAAAAAGTTTGAATGAAGAAATACAGCAACTAGTAGATACCTAAAACAAAATCACATTTATCACAACTACTGACTCAGATTAAACTCACCTGTCCTGGTATGACATTAAAGATCTCTTCAGTTAATGCAATCCTAAACCATTACACCCCATTTACAGATGTATTTATTAATGTACAGTTTCACTTATCACCCTTATCATGCATAAACATACTGTAGCTGCTAACTTATGTATGTTAGGACATGGTCTCTTGTCATAACAAATATACCAACTAGGAGTTAGTCAACGTGAAATCACTTTAGACATAAAAAGTTAACCGGACAACACTAACTTTATGATTGTAGGTTATAATTCGTCCGTTAAATGTTCTGCAAATCAGGTCTGACCACTAACGTTAGAGTGAAATGTAACCAAACTAAAGCTGGTTTGGCAGAACTAAGAAACACAGGCCGGTAGAACCGGACTGAAATGAGGAAAGCTAAACATTTACTTACCCTTCCACTTCAGAATCATATTCACTCATGATGGTCTTTATAAACGATTACAGCACAGCTCCTGCTTTAAAAACAGCACATAGAAACTATTTTGCAGGCGTAAAAGGAAATCATTCTTCGCCATATTTTGGACCAAATAAAGCGACAAAACTTACCAAAAACATCTATGAAGCGTCAAAAACGTACTCGAAACATTTAGGAAGAGATCGAGGTTAATCTGAAGTCATGTAGTCGATCATTTCGCTGTCAAAACGAGTTTGAAACTTCGACAGAAATGTCTTCCGTTTAAGACACGGCCTCGCGCATACCTTCCGCATTTGCTATCGGTGACGTCATTCACTTCGGGTTCCATGGTTTTCGCGTGAACGCGCTGTAATACACCGTATATATGCGCATCGACCGAGAGGAAAACAATAATGATGTGAACAGCTCATTTCTGCATAGTCAAAGAGGATTTCTTTAACAATAACAACAAAAATTATATTTTAGTTATATGTATATTATAATAAAAAAACTTTTTTAAAAAACTACTACTGCAATAGAGTGATCAACCTATCATAACATTGCACAGAAATACCAACAAGCTTTTAAATAGCTGAAATTTAATTGCAACTTTCACTTATGCATGTAAAATGCAGGACACAGAAAGACAAAAATCAAAACAAACAAAAACAGACACGGAAAAACAGACAGACGGGCGGAAAAGAGGGACATGAAGACAAGTGCAGACAGAAAGATGGACAGACACGGAAAAAGACAGACGCTTTAAAACCCTTTTTAAAAAAATTAAAAACAAAAAAAAAAACCCACTACAACATAAAATGTAATAAAAATACTTTATTTTTAACACATTGCATTATTTTAAACATTGCAAAATTCAAATCTATAAAGTGAACAGAAGACAAACAATAAAATCGCCAATACAAATAAATCGAGGATTTTTTCCCAAATGATCCTGGAGTTTACCTGTGGAGAGAGAAGTGGTTTCAGAAATTTCATCAAATACAATACAAAGTGTTACTGCCTCATAATAACAGCAGATACATACAGTCTTCAGGAAAGACGGTCGGCACAGTTACTTCTGTTTTGCGCTCCCTAAACACACAAAATATATTTCTTAACCTACACTTCATTATTGCACCTATTAACCATGCATTAGTCTAAGGGGCCGTTTACATGACACCGTTTTCAACCAAAAACGTGAAAAATTATGCTTTTTGGCCGTTTGGATACACGACATCTGCATTTTGGGGTGCCTGGATAAGCAAAGTTTTGAAAACGGGTTTCAAATTGCAAGTTCGATAAGTCAAAAAAAACAGCAAAACCATGAATCTCTGAAAATGACTTCATGCGTATTATGCGTTCAGTTATAGCAGGGATCTCAAACCTTTTTTCATTTGAGAGCTACTTTTTAAAAACGAAAGAGGCCGAGAGCTACTCATGTAATACACTACTTAAATCTCTGATCTCATAACTCATTAACAACCATCCAAACAATGAAAACTTGTCTGAGCTTATTAAGCATATCTTTGTCGTGTCAACGTACCCTGATTCTAATACAACAAGAGCTCCCAGCTCAACTGAAGTCTCGTAAAAAAATTTTCCCAACTCTAGTGGTTTGTACCAGTTTGGCGTCGGAGGTTTTGGAAGGTTTGTTGAGAGGACGTTTTCTCAGGCCCCCACTGGCCCTTGGGGGGGTTTTGCAGGCGTCTTTATGGAGTCTGAGGCCTCGGCGAAGCAAACTACCTCCACCGTTGCTCTTCGGTGTATTAGGAATCATGAACACCACAGACTGCCTTTGCTTAGACTAGAGATGAATAGAGTTAGGTGCATGCGTGTGTGCACATCATATGTGACCCTGGACCACAAAAACAGTCACAAAATCTATGCTAAAAACGTACTTGTTTAAGTTGGCATTTAATCAATGAGGAAGTTGTATTGTATTGTGTTTTTCATTGCTTTTAAATTATAGTGTTCTTGCCTTGTTCTGTTACCATTGTGCAGCACATTGGTTGTGATTAATAGTGCTATAGAAATACAATTATTGACATGCACGGGTACATTTGTGGCAATAGCCAACAATACATTGTATTTGTAAAAATGTATGGCAAAATCATTAGGATATCAAGTAAAAATCATGTTCAGTGAAGATATTTAGTACATTTCCTACTGTAAAAATATTTTTGTGAGTGGATACAGCACGACTTTAAAGGCGATTTTCCCAACATTTAGATTTTTTTGCACCCTCAGATTTTCAAGTAGTTTTATCTCGCCCAAAATATTGTCCCATCATAACATTTAATCAGTTAGCAGTCGCTTTTATGCAAAGCGACTTACAACTGAGGACTAAACCAAGCGACTCATCATGAAGAGGCAAAAACACCACAAGAAGTGCTCAAAATACAAAGTTCAAACATTGCTCGCAGCGAAGATTTAAAGGAAAGAATCTTATTTTTTTTTTACGTCAAGTGCTCACAGAAGAGATGAGTTTTCAGTTGTCTTGAATGCTGTGAGGGATTCTGCATTGGTGGGCGGATATCATGAATTTATAGCTCTCTGTGATGGTACCACGAGCCATCAGAGATCATAGATCCATGGAAAGCTTATTTATTCAGCTTTCATACATCTCAATAAAAAAAATAAAAAACACGACCTTTGTGACTGGTTTTGTGGTCCAGGGTTACATATGTGTGCGTGTTATATATATATATATAACCACCTTACCTGAGAGTTTGAAAGTCTGCTGGCATGCCTGCTCTTACTCGTTGCTTTCCGAGAGATGCAGTTCGCCGACTTTAGCAGCAATAGAACATGGATTGCACATTAACACAATCAGAATAGATTTCATTAAAGCCTGACATTTGAACAATTCTAAATTCTATATTATTATTTTTTTCACTTCAGGTGTGTCCGGGGCAGGCAGATGAAATCCCGGCCTCTTCCGAACCTGTGGGAGCGACAGTTTTGTGATTCACGGAAGAGCAAAGCGGCACTGTAACCATTACATACTGGACGTTAGGGTTAACTATAACTATTCAAAAACCCAGTATTTATTAAAGAAGAAGTTCACTTTTAAAAAAAACAAAAAAAAATAAAAAATTTTGCTGATAATTTACTCACCCCCATGTCATCCAAGATACCCATGTCTTTCTTTCTTCAGTCGAAAAGAAATTAAGGTTTTTGATGAAAACAATGCACTTCATTGGGAACCAAACGGTTCAAGGTCCAAGACAGTTTCAGCGCAAACTGTTCAAAGGGCTTTAAACGACACCAGACGATGAACAAGGATCTTATCAAGGACCCTTCGTGTCATGACTCGAAAAAAAGATTAGTTCATTTTGATGAACGAGTTCGAACAGGAGAGTCACGAACACGCATCACAGAACAGAGCAAGGCGAGCATTTGAGCTTATAAAACTTGAACTTAAATTAATTTTTTTAAATAAGCAATCATTTCGCTTGATAAGACCCTTATTCATCGTCTGGAATCGTTTAAAGCCCTTTGAACAGTTTGCACAGAAACTGTCTTTTAGACCTTGAACCGTTTGGTTCCCATTGAAGTCCATTATATGGAGAAAAATGCTGGAATGTTCATCAAAAACCTTCATTTCTTTTCGACTGAAGAAAGAAAGACATGGACATCTTTGATGACACGGGAAGAGCAAATAATCAGCAAACGTTTTTTTTTTTTTAAATAAACTACTCCTTTTAGTATTGTGGCTTCATGTATATTATATTTACTTTAAGACTTTCTCTGCATCTCACGTCCTCATTGTCGTCGATCACCTTCCTCAACTCGTGCAGACGCTTCTCAGCAGCGTCCACCTGAAACAAACAGTGTTGCAATGTTAAACCAAACTGAAAATGACTCAAAACAGGATTCAGTGTAAACCTCACTAGATATTCACCTCAGCCTTGGCCTGGTCTCGTTCCATCTGAAGAGCTTGGATTTTACTGCTGCAACGCTTTAATTGTCTGAATACGATCTTCAGCTTGTCCAGGAGCTCCTCATTCTGCAGCTCCCATTGTCCAGCAAGATTTTTCAGAGCGATAATGGAGGCGTTTTGTTTCTCCAGCTTCAGCTCCAGTCGAGCTCTAAGCTGATCAGCTCTCAGCTCTCGGTCCTTCATCTCGGTTTTAAGAGCACTTATTTGAGCGTCCCTCTCCGAGGAAAGAGTTGAGATCTCAGCTTGAAGTTCCCTCACAATCTTTTCAAACTCCTGAGCTTTTTCTTGGAGGCAAAGCAAGTCCTTCGCCTCAGTCAGCTGGTTCATAAGAGAGGTCTGGTTGTCCTGCAACACGTTGTGTTTGGTCTTTAAGACAGAGATTTCTTGTTGTTTCAGATCTTCATTTTCACTGTAACGGCAGATCTGCTCTTTCAGAGAGGTTACCTCCGCTGACAGCACCAGCATTTCCTCTTGTTTTTCTGATGCGGCAGAAGAAGCCGAGTGAAGCTCTTGCTGAAGTTTTTTAACCGTCTCCTCATGCTCTTTGCGATTTGATTTGATCAATTCGTTTATTTCAATATTTTTTTCCTTCACAAGCTTCTGCTCGTGGTCAGAGTCTTTCTCGTTCCTCAGATTTCTGATTTCTTCATCTTTTAGGGAAATCTGCTCGGACAGTTCCAGAATGTGAGTTTGGAGGCTTCCGATTTTAGTCAAAACCTGACAAGACATTCATTTTTTTTTAATCATAGTATTTTATACAATAAACGCAATGAAGTGAGATTTACTCAGACTAGTAAAGAGCAAAAATTAAGATTAAAAAGAGTCAAATTGAAACTGAAGAGAAATCCGTCTCATAAACGGACATTTTTTTATTTTAAATGTACATCATTTATTATTTAATGGTTTATAGAACTAGATTTAAAAAATTGTGAATTAAATGTTTTAAATGTTCATTCATTTTAAATGTAATAAAACAAATGAATAAGTCACTTAAATTCACAGTTAATTTTATTTCATCAAATAAAACAAATTAAAGCTTTGTTTTAAAAGAAATATTTTTTAAATAATTAATAAATAAAAATGTAAAAAAAAAAAAAAAAGTTTAAGTCAATAAGTCAAAACATTTTTAAATGGGAAAATGTATTTTAAACTTAATTCATGTTATAATGTTGTTAAGATAATAAAACAATAGATTATAAAACGAGTTAAACAGTGTGAAAGGTAAATTTAATACTAATTTATTGTTTTATTAAATTGATACTTAACTTTATTTAATGGGTTTAAAAAATATATAAAATAGAAAATTAAATAAATTAAAATTATAAAAAGAAAATTAAATTAAAATAAAAAGAAAATTAAAACCTGATTAAGTTTAAAAATATCCAATTTAAAAAAAAAATAATAATAATAAAAAAAAAAAATCGAATAAATAGACATTTAAAACTGATTTGATTCATGTTTTAAAATGTAGTTGTTAAATAATAGAAAACAATTGTTTAACAGTTTAAAGCATTAAACAGTTTAACTTAATGTTTTTTGATTTGTCCATTTATGAATGTATTTATTTCCATTTTCATGTCTGGACTATTAATTTGATAAACAACTCCTTTTATTTTTAAGAGTCACTCCTAGTCCTCCATACTCGCCTCCATGATGGGTCCCAAAACCTCTCCTCTCTCCTGAGACTGAGCTTTCAGGAGTTCATCCTCCAGAACGGAGATCTTTCCCTGAAGGATCTGCACTTGCTCACTCAGACACTCCTGAACGAGGAGAAGAGGAGAAAGAAAACAATACAGATGAATACATACCAGTCAGGTTGAGTACAAAGCAAAGAAACACAACATGATTAACGTAATTGAAATGCTCTACCCTGTGTGTAACGGCCTCGTTCAACTCGTGCTCGAGAAACTCCTTTCTGCTCCTCCACTCAGCCAGTGACGATTCATGAGCCGACGTGAGTTTTGTAACTTCCTCCTCGGCTCTCGCCAGCTGAGCGAAGGCGTTTCGTGCCTGATGAGTCCAGTGTGAAAAAGAAATTCATTTTAAACAGGTTTGCAAGACAGAAAAGAAGGGGGAAAAATAAAAGTATCTCACCTGAGCAGCGAAAGTTCGGTTCTCATCTGTTAGTTTATAAATTCTCTTGTCTTTCTGATAATTTTCAGTTTTTATCTCTCGGCACTTCCCCAAGACCTCATGCACTCTGCGGAGAAGACTACAAGAACAAAACATTTTAAAATAAGGTGTCATTTGTTAACATTAAAGGATTGACTAACAAAGAGCACTATTTTATATATAATATAATTCATAGGACTTTCTTTAGTGTGTAATGTTGCTGTTTGAGCATGAAAAACTCCCCAGCAGGAGTTATTCTCAAATAAATAAATATGAATAAAATTACGTGTTAGAGTGCATTAATGTTTTGTTAAGACACTGACCTCTAACAGAAGCTAATAGGGCTGGGTATTGACACAAATTTCACAATTCGAGTCGATTTCGATTCACAAGCTTGCAATTTGATTCGATTCAATAGAGTATTTTGGATATCAGTTACAATAAATGGCAATTTTTCTCAAGGGAATCAAATCTCTTAACCCCTTAACTGTCACCGTCCCGGTACCGGGACGCCTAACTTTACTTCACTATATTTCTATTAAATCTTAATCTAATTATGACAAATTATATATTTTTGGAAAGGTCTAAGACTTCTAAATAGATATTCTACCCCTGTTTTGTGTTAAAAATTATGTAGGAAGAGTAATTGATGAATTTATGACAAGAGTGCACCTCAAAAAATCTGCATCATAACAGGAGTTTTGACCTTTGTTACAAAAAGTTGATGAACCCACTTTTAATCATTGAAACTTCTATTTTTATGCTAAAAGTTCATAATAAACATAATATAGTATTTTTCAATAAAAAAAAATTATAGTACAATATTTTCCTCTAAAAATGATAATATTTATATTTATTATCCTCTAAAATATAATATTTTTTATCGCCTTTTTTTATTATATCACATATTTTAGTAGTCATCATAAATTAGGTATCATTTGAAAGCTTATAAACTCTATTGCTTATAAACTCTAGCTTATAAACTCTTATAAACTCTATTGTTGCGTTACCATAGAAACGGTACTTATTTTATCAGGCTCCTCCCCTTTTGGGCATCATTATATTTCATAATTTATGATCAAAACTTTTTCTAAACTTGACAAAACTGATATTGTCAGAAAGGTCAGAGTCTCAAGGTTCCAAATTTTGTGACAGAATTGATATTTGGACAGAAATGTATTAATTTGTTAAGGCAGAATGTATACAAATAAATTCAATGGAATTCAATGGCACCCGGTGGCTATTTTTGGTACTACGCCTAAACAAAATCTCATTGGAACTTCAATTTTTGTGATATCAACTTCAAATTTGGAACATAACTTGATAAGATGTATGGCTTTGATTTTATAGAAATTTTAGAGTAAAAAATATTTTATAAAATATATATTTTATATAAAATAAAAAATATATAGTACAGTATATTTAATTTTCTGTAAATTTAAACTTCCATAACTTTTTCATACTTTCATTTTTTGAAGTGTTTTCACTTCAGCAATATTCTGCTGAGTGTTTTCTTTAAAACAAGACCAAACTTGGGTATATATTCCAAAGCATTCTTAAATTACAACCATTTAAGTTTGAATAGTACATTTTAACCCCATTCTCAAAAAAGGGGGTGACAGCTAAGGGGTTAACTAATGCTGTAAACTATGGGAGTCTAGTTGTAGCTTATAGGCTTCATTAGCCTAATATGAAGGTAATAATGAACTGTTTTGTAGCTATACAAACACTTAAAATTACACTTTTAGTTATTTTTATAATAAGATTATATGAAATATAAACATTTAAATGGTGGCCGTCATAAAATCTTGCCAGATTTATTCAAATATGCATTAAATATTGAAGAACATTAAGATTATAATGCATATGTAATATGGTGTATATATTTAGCAAAATGCTCCTCTCTAGGGTTATTTTTTCTAGCTGACTAACGAGTTGATGTGGGTTTTCTGAGGTGAATATGACGATACATGACATTGATTACAAGCTGTTTAACTGACGTCTTTCCACGGTTGAAACGCTGATTGAGCGAATCAATGTGACATGATACGGATTTTGAGAAGTTGCACTCTATCTTTTAACACACTTTCAGATCCTCATTCGTGTTTATTTCACGCTGTGACTGGTATTATTAACCCGGAAGAGAGATCAGCGCTGCTGCTTCTCTTCAGCTGCGCCAGAGCGATCTCACGCCACAGCGCCAAAACACTATTTATGTTTCTGTAATTTGAAAATTGAGACTTTTTCATATCAATAGTAACAAAGGACAAAGATTATTGCGATTTTTTGGATGCGCGCAGCCGCGATACAATATCCCATTCATTCAAATGAAACAGGATGACTAATCGATTCTTGAGATTTAAGAATCAATATCGGTTCGTAAAAATGAGAATCGATTAATATTGAGAAATCGATATTCATTACCCAGCCCTAGAAGCTAAACAGGAGTTCTCTCTCTGAGACAGACATTACTCATCCCTGGTATAATGGATTAACCCTTCCCCGTCTTGTGCCTCACCTCTCGTTCTTCTCCTGTAGCCCCAGAAGAGCAGCTTTATGACCTCTCTCCAGCTCTCGTTGCTCTCTCAGCATTCGGTCCACCCTGTGCTTCAGCTGGACTATCAGACCCTCTGTGTGCAAAAGAGAGAGACATTCAGACAAATTCACAGCAGAGTTAGTTCTCTCGAGGTAGCACAAATGAAACCTTTTTCTGAGATGACGTTGATCTGATTGGCCAGCTCGTCTCTCACATCTGCCCCATGTGCCAATTGGTTCCGGAGTCTCTTCAACAATTGTGGCGTGCTCACTTTATTCGGTACCGGAGAGCTGGAGATCAAGAACGCGAGTTAACGTGATAAAGCTAAACATATTTGCAATGAAGCAGGAAGGACACCTCCTGTACCTGTCCGAGCCGCCGGCTACCGTGACCAGCTCTAGACACTGAGGTCTGGGTTTGTGGAAGTGGCTGGTGAAGGGAGACTCGTCGTTGCTGTATGAAGGCGAACCGCAGCTGCTCCCACTGCTGGAGGTGGAGAAGGTCATGACAGCTATAGAGACAGAGAGAAGGTGTAAGGATACAACAATCATTAACGCATGCAGAGTCGGCGCCAGAGCAGACAACCACTGATAAACATAATCGGTTTTAATGATGGGAAACAAAAATAGCTACGCGAGTGTAGATTAGAACCCAGAATCTCTTGCACGCCAGTCTAAAGTTCTGCCACTGGACCATTACAGCACTTAAGATGATAGGTCGGACTGAATACATCTATTTCTTCACAAGAAACTTCTTGGCACCAACACATATTAGATCCAATTAGACAACAAATTAAACACAATGTACTATTTAAATAGATTGCTGGACATTTGGTATTGTATAGCCTACATCTGATTTATTATTTAGCATTGTATTAGAAACTGTGGTAGGAGGGGCATCAATGAGCGCTGGGGGGGCACGGCCCTCGAATGCCCCACCATAGCGCCGACCCTGCTCAATTGTAGGATTGGGAATCAAATCTTGAGGCCAGGAATCAGATACTTGTTAAAATTAATTGATTCCTTTGTGAGCATTTCAATATGACTATAAACCAATCAAGCACAAGATGACTTGCTCACTGTTTTGCAACAGTATATTGGATCCGCGCAGCTCTTAAAGAGACAGATTTTACATTTGATTAGTTTCTGTGCCTAAAATCTTACACTATTTTTGTTCAGTTGAATCTATTTGTTGCGATTGCTTTTTTATTTGTTCTTCTAATCAAGTTAAACCACGGCCAAATGTTCCTTGTGTAAGTGTTCTTTAGCCAATTGATTTTGTTTTATTCAACTACAATTAAATTTGCAATAAGACTTAATGTGAATAATAGAGCCCGACCGATAAAGGATTTTGAAGGCCGATACGATACAAATATTTTTTGGTTTTAAAATATGATATTCCGATATATCTTACGATATTTTATTATATTTTTTTTACATTTATTTTATTTTATTTTTTTATGACATGGTTCAAGCGTGTTTCGTCCGTTTTTATTTTTGAAATATTGATTTATCGCAATTATAACTGCCGATACCGATAGTTTGGAAAATGCCTAATATCGGCCGATAACATCGACCTGCCGATATATCGGTCTAATATGTTAGATTTTTTTTTTAACCTTATTAGAATCGAAATCGTTGAAATTAAAGTGATGCCCAAACCTACTGATTTGTTAATGCCACGCTAGCACCTAAAACCAAGTTCATGGTGACAAAAAGATTAAAACAAAGAGGGTTTAAAAATGTACATTTACATGGACTGATTAAAAACATTCAAAGGGTAGTGTATAAGCAGGAAAAAAAAAAAAAAAAAAAAACACGTCTTCAAAAGATTAACATTTTATAATTCCATAATCTGTACTTTCCCTTAGCAAATGTGATAATGTGGCTCTACTTACAGGCTTTGGTGAGGAACTTATTTAGGTCATCGACTAAACAAACACCATCAGCATCCTCTTCAACAAAATGAAACATGGATGAGATCATCAACTGATAAAAACAGAGCAAGAGGGGGGAGTTCAGAAATACACAGACGTCATAAACTGTCGGTCAGTTTCAAACACTCACCCCTGTCTTGATGTCCAAAGGTACCATGTTGTGCCTTTTAAAACTGCAGTAACACAGCACAAGAACCACCTAAACACACACACGCACATGGAAAAAAGTTTTCAGTGTTTAGGTAAAAAAATGGCTTAATGGCTTTCATGTTTTTGAATAAAACACAATATGAATAAGAAAAGTTTTAATGTCAAGAACACATCATAATTTTATTAAAGGTTTCCAAATAAAGGCAAAAGAATCTATCATGAGGATTTCTGGGGATTTTTAACCCCCTGGGGACCAAGGTGTATTTGGGGTCCTTGAGATTTTCTGACATCTGTACTTTTTTCAGCTGCTTATAAACATGTTAATGGCACTGGCGAAATTACACCATATTTAGCACAAACAGGGCAACCATGTACATGTTTGTATTTGAGAGAACATTGTTTATTTTTTGCGGAGACAGAGTGAGCTCAAAGTTTATTTTACAAAAACACAAGGTTTTGATATTAATAAGAGTGTACACAAAAAAAGAAGACCCTCTACAGTTTATAATCATGTGTTGATTTTATTTACATGACCATTAATGGCGGAGTATTTTAAGTCAATGTTGCAGATATGTGGAAAAAAAAAGATCAAAACGGGACGCGTTTTTGGTCCTCAGAGGGTTAATATTTAAGACAGTTTCTGACTTTGCCACAGTTATGAGGTCAACTAAACGATTTACTGTGCTAGCAACACCAAGGTCACGAGTTCGATTCCAAGCACATGCATGAACTTATAACATATATACTTTGAATGCAATGCAAGAACAGAACATTTGATTTGCAAAGTAAAAAAAATAAATAAATAAAAAAAAATTCAGAAATGTTCATTTGTGAATTGCATTTAATGCATTATAATATTAAATGTATTATAAAGCATTATAAAAGTGACGCATCATTAAAAAAAGAATAGCAACTAAGAGTTTCTTATTCAGAGTAAAAACTAACAGAAACACACACACCTTTGCGATCTGAAGCTCCAGCTCGACTCCCTGACTGATCTTCTGGAACATGAGGGATGCCTGTCTCGGGCTGAACTTAAAGTCGTCTGCATGTAGAAGGGAATAAAGGTAAGCAGTGGTTTATGCAAACACACGTGTGTGTGTGGAACCATCGCACAGGGAGCCCGATCGCTCGACAGGCCCTGTCGGCAGGAACCAGCATCTCTCTGTGTGGCGTCCGGGACTGCGGCACTGCTCGGCTCTGCAGACACACTCGGACAAACCACAGTCTGAAATCATGGTGACGGGACCTGGGATCGAACCTGCAACCTTCCCATACACAGTCCAACTCCTTATCCATTAAGCCACTGCTACTCTTACTCTAATTTAAATAATTCCCACCCAACGCATATGTTAATTAAAGGGGCGGGGCCTGATTGAGTTAGTAGTGTGTTGAAACTGGCAGTTATGGTAAGGGGCGGGGCATTTCTGCAACTGTGGAATTATTTATTTATTTATTTTTCTCCCCATTTAAGCATGAAATCCTGTTCTAGTAGACCTAAAGGGCATAATGTGTCCTCTAGCAAATCCAAACTTGTCAGTCAAGTCTTTTATACTCACTCTGCAGTACACTGAAGAGCATTTCCATCACATCAGCAGCTGGGGACACCGATAAATCTTCACCGGACTCGTTCTCTCGTCTACAGAACAAGATGACACACATTAACCAATACGTTTATTCATTTAACAGATGCTTCTATCCAATCTGACTCACAGAACGAGAAACACCACAATTAATCTCATGTTTACAGCATTATTCACAGTATTAGTAAAACAAATTGACCAGTAAACAAGCTAATAAAGGAGTGACTACTAGTGATATTTAGATTTTCTCAACAGGCTTTTAAAACTGATATCATTTTAGTCTGCATCTGATTTGTGAAAATCAGATTTCATGTTTGTGGCATATTGCTTTTCAGAAAAACAGAATAAGAAATAATCAAAGAAAGTAACCAACTAAGTAAGGAAAAGGCATTTGAATCGTAACCGTCACAGCTCACAGTCTGTCGGCAAGCTCAAGGAGTCGATGGCCGTCCATCATCTGGGTGATTTTGTTAATGGGCTCCTCAGGACAGACACTGTTGATCTGTCAGAAGAACAGCAGTCCTGAAAACATGTCTTCAAACGTCATGTGGTGCGACACATTAAATATGACGGAGTCAACTTACCCATGACAAAAGTGCTGCCTCCTTCACGCCATTCAACTCCATGATGGACACTACAATTAGACAACTACCTTCATTACACAATGTGGATTTATGTGAATGAATGGTTAGACCTACGGTGGCCAATAGAGCTGACATGCACAAAGGATGACCTGAAATGGGGTTTTTTTTTCTTCTTTTGTTTATTTAAAAATCCTGATCATATGTGCACTGGGAGTATTTGGATCATGTTTCTGTATTCGGTTGTGTTGTGAGTATTTTTGGCACAGGTATTGTCAAACTGATGAAGATGTTTTCTTAATTTGCTGGTGTTTGTTTTTCAGTTGCAGCACGTTGAGCTCTCTCGGACACTGTATATCCACACACACCCCAGTCAAAAGTTTTGGATCAGTAAGATTTTATAATATTTTTAAAAGTCTCTTCTATTCACCAAAACTGCATTTATTTAAAATGCAATTTAAAACGACCGCTTTCTATTTCAATTTTTTTTATGTAATTTATTCCTGAGATCAAAGCTTAATTTTTAGCATCATTGCTCCAGTCTTCAGTGTCATTTATATCATTAAAATATGTGATATATTTTGATATCACATATTTGAATGAATATAGAATATTTGATGCTCTTAAAACATTTATTATTATTATTGAATATTTGATGCTCCCAAAACATTTATTTTTATCAATATTGACAACAGATGTGTAAAAAATTAGAAAGTTCAAAAGAACAGCATTTTTTTAAATAGTGTGTTTTGTAACGTTATAAATGTCTATACTGTGACCTTTGATCAATTTAATACATGCGTGATGAATAAAATTATTGATTTTTATTATTTCTTTCCCCCAAAAATATAACAATAATTCTTACGGACCACAAACTTTTGAATGGTATCCTTTAATGTTACCAAAGCTTTATATTTTAGACAAATGCGTTTCTTTTGAACTTCATTAAAGAAGCCTAAAATAAAAACGTAAATACTAGTTGACAACATTAATTATAATGAGAAATGTTTATGCATATAATGAGCATCAAATCATCGTATTATACATTATCTCTCTGACTGTGTGTGTCTGTGTGAGTTTAATCAAATAAATCCTACCTTGGTGAGAAGAATATACATTTAAAAACATTTAAAAATATTAAAAAAAAAAAAAAAACTTTTGCCTGGAAGTGTAACGTAACGTTAACTTACACCCCTAACAAACACTCGATAAATTAAACTCGATCTCTTTTGTTACAAAACCAGTTTAGGCACATACACATACTTGAAAACAACACTTGTAACATTAAAAATGAAACTCCAAATGCTAAATATGTTAGGTATTTTAAAACGTTTTACCTCCTTAAAATGTGAAGCGAACTTCAAACAGACACGCGCAGACATACGTGTTGGCGTCTCCCTGATGTTTTTTACAATGCCAGAAAAAATGTAATTTTGAAATAATCAATACAGGTGGGAATAATTATTTGAATCAATCAATCAATCAATCAATCAACGAGAGATGTTTTACCGCATTTGTTCACTGAAACACGCGACCACAACTTTTTAACAAAACTAATAATAACGAAGCAGCAGGGCGAGGGCGTTCACTGCTAATTTAAATATATGATGACGCATTACTCCATTCTTTATGCTCATTGGCTATCACAAATTACGTAGCCAATGGAAACACTCATTTTCCGAAACTGCACAAGTTGTCGTAATAATCAACGCAACTAAAGTTGATCTACTCATATTTAATTTGAAATGAACAAAAAAATTACAAACCAGATAAAGTAAGGAAAATCAAGAAACCTCAATTTAATTGTGATAACCTCAAATTTGGGACAACTTGATTTGATATATTTAGAATTTCTAGCAATGTTAAAGTTCTGTACAACCCATTTGTTAAAAGTATAAAAAGTTTCATGCATACACTTTTATGCTTAAATGTTTTAAGTTTTAATTTCTTACACTATGTTGTTTCTGTTATAATCTTCCAAATAAAGTTGCATTCTTCTAAATAATATCATCAAATAAGATAAATCGCACATTTAAAACACCTGACATGTATAGCTGACTTGTTCATATTCAAGGATTTGCTACTCTGAGAATCAAGAGCTTGCTTATTAAAACTTACAGGAGTTCGACATGTATTTTATCACACACGAAAACACATGCTGAAACTTTCCATAAATTTAGATTGTGAATCCAGTCCTAGAGAAATACTTTTAACTGAAAATAGTGTTAATTAATTGTTTGAAGATTCAATGCAGTCAGAAATGTGTTATTTGTTTAATATATCTAATCTGGAACATTTCTGCAGTCATATACTTTTTCATTTACAAGCTGAGTTTAACATCCAAACAGTTTTAATACAAATATTGCATTTGTATTAAACATTGTACATTTCTGGAAGTTAATTTAGTCTTTATTAAAATCATTTCTTAACCACTGAACAACACAGGATTGTAAAATAACTCTCCAAGCAGACTCTGCAAACACTCCTAGTATATATTGCCGTTCGACAGAGGCTTTGCCACATTCATACACTAATTACCAATGGCTGACAAAACAGTCAATGATTTGACAGAGATATTTTATTATAAAAGAAAAAGGAATACATTTAAATAAAATACACAAACAACCAATTAGACAAACAGGACAGTAATTACGATCACTGCATCCCAAAATAAAAAAAATAACTTATTTACAAAGAGAAAAGATTAGAAAAGGGAATCATTGGCGTATGTTGAATCCTCAAATTTAGACTTTAATCCTGAACCTCATCTGTGGAGAGAGAGAGAAAGAGAGAGAGAGAGATGTCAGATAGTGCATTCAAATCCATATGAGAGTACAATATATACATTGCAATTGAAAATGCTATTTTGAAAGTAAAACTCTAGTTGTTACTGTAGAATAGATGGTGACGGAGAGCAACTGAACACCACCAACATCAGGTGAAATGATCAGAAAAACAGTGAGACACCACCACCAGAATTTGTTCAAAAGTAAAAAAAAAAAAATAAATTAAAAATTTAAAAAAAATTAAATGTCATTAAAAACATATGTAAAGTTGTGCATTTACATTACGTAATTAACAAAAAAAATTGAATTACTATTTAAATCATTCTGCTAAATTTCATGACATAAAAGCCCATGACCAGCAGAGAGAGAGTGAAACGAGCACACACACACACACACACACACAGGAGAAACACCTGCACGACTACACGTACAGTTCAATACTTAGATCCACGCAGCGACTCACTGGATTCCCTAAACACAAATCAAATCAAACTTTCTTCAAAGTTCATCAACATGAATTTTAAGCAATAACCGTTCTTATCTTAGGACAACTTTTTTGATCCACTTTAAATGTTGACTACAGTACATGGTCTAGTGTTCATGTCTACAGAGAGAGGGTTTTCTTAAACAGAAGTGTTCATTGTACCTTTTTGGCGTTGGAGGATTTGGGGGACTTATTTCTGGGAGACTTCCTGAGGGTGGAGTCGAGAGGAGATTTGGCGCTCACGGCTGAACGCAGGGCGCGACTGGCCACGCCGGGAGATTTGCGGGCGCTGTTACGCAGCTTGTTGAGGCCGCGCTGAAGCCTGCTGTCCCCTCGACCGCTGTTCTTCGGGGTGTTTACGACAGTGAACACCACAGACTGCCTTCGCTCGGCCTACAGATGAAAGAGCGACATATTAATACTGTATAGTCAAACCCCTTTACCTAGCCATCTAAATGAGGACATACAACATGCTTCCAAAGAGCAAAGTAGCATTTGTGAAGGACATGTTATATAATGAGTTTGTAGAATAGCACTACTGTAATATTAAAAAAAAAGGCATAATATTGCAACTTTATTTTCATAAAAGGCGTATTATGAAATTATTTACATTATTGTTTTATTTATTTAGGCTCTAAAATGCTACTATTTGAGGTGTTGGGTCTTTATTATATACAGTATTGGCCTACAGTAATGTTCAGCCTAGGAAAATTGACTATCAAAATATTATTTATTTATTTTTATGCGTATATTGCGTAGTCCACTTTATATATTTGTGATAACACAAACCAAATTGTGCTGATATTACTTATAAAAAAATATTAATAACTGACTATTATATAGTAAAAGCATGTTTTTCTATGCATTTCTTATTTGCATAGTAAAATAAAACCTCTAGCTGTGGATTTTTGCCAAATAAGTGTCGAGTTTAGTGTTTTGTTCTTCTCTCATATTTAAAACAAAATATTTTCCTCATATTTTAGTTTAATTGAACTTGTAGGGTAATTAAAAACAAATACACCCTCTTTAGGCCACTACTGTATAGATTTTAAATAAGGTCTGAAATATAGTATACTTCCTCATTTTGCTTTACAACACAAATTTACAACAAAAAAAATTAAAAGTACATTAGACAACCGTTGTAGCCTTTATGCAGCAACGTGTTAGTTGCCGTTTTAAATACCCGTTTTAAGGCAAATTATCTTTCAAATTTTGCCTAAAATATTCTTATTATTTTTAAATAAAGCTGATTGTAATAATGCCAATCACAAACTCTAATCTAGTCTAAAACTCTTTAGCTGTTTTGGGTGTCCAAATAGCTAAATTCAGTTAAATTCTGGAGATATTTAACAGCAATTTTGTCCTCAAATAAAGTCTATGTTAGTAGCAACCACATGTGTTTTCAAAGTCACAAAAGTACTTTACCGGAGAGTTTGGAGGTCTGTTTTGACTGTTTCCGAACCTGCCTTTAGGTGTCATTGGTCGTGGGAAGCAACTTGCCAATTTCTTAGCCTGTGGAAACAACAACATCAGTAACTAACAGTCTTGCATTTAAGTGATGTTTCTTATCCAAAGAAAATTCTTAAACATAAATCAAGTGGGATCAACATTTGCCCCTTCATATCGATCTCGTACCTCAGGTGTGTCTGGGCCTTGCAGTTGGGATCCAGGGCGTTTGGGAGCCAGCGGGCTGCGTTTATTTTCTGAAGCATGTAGCTGTGAGCTTGTTTTGGTGAGCCGAGACGCCCGGTGAGCCGCAGTGCTGGACCGGATCTGACCCGGCAACATGGTGGCGCGCTGAGGCTGGGAGACCGCAGGACCTTGGGTCGAACTCGCTCCGGGCGCAAGGGAGAAGCGGCGAGAGTTCAGCGTCTCTAGTATTTGACTCGGAGCCATTGAAGCACGTCGGATCGTCTCATCCGGGTCACCCATGCGCAGGTCATCGTCGGTTACAGTGAACGAGGGTCCCAGGCTGGGCTACGGAGGCAGAACAATACGTTTGATTCTAGTTTTATACAAACAACGCAGCTAAAGCTAACTATCACAAGCTTACCCTGGACTCCAACGGGTAGCTGCTCTTCAGGTGGGGCAGACAGACTTTGTTTCGTGCCTGCAATTCGGCGATTCGCATCCAGTCATCAGAAGCATGTTCGGGTTCATTCTCCGCTCCGATACAGAACGTACTGGTGGCTGCACAACACACACACAATAAGTTAGTTTACTTATGCATCAGGCATGATTTGGTGGTGCAAATTGGTAGGTTCCCTGATAAGAAATGCTGACTGATTTAAAACGCAATACATTTTTTGTTTACTATTTTTTAGAGCTGCAAAAATTGGCCAAAAATTAATTATACATCAATATGAGAATAAAATAAAAATAATAACAAAAGTATTGTATTATATATCATTAATAATAAAAATGTATAAAAAAAAATTAAAATACTATTTTTGTAACATTTCAGTGTAAACTTAATAAAAAAAATTATTAGTATTTTACAGTACAGCAATTTTTATTATAAAAGTTTTCCTCTAGAATGCGATTAAGAATATATAATTAATGATTCAAGAACAGAACAATATGTTAATGACTATAAAATATATGTTATTATTTTAATTTAGTTACAAAAAAGCAAAATAAGAAATATTACTATTGTAATATTTCATCAGAAAATAAAAAGAGTACTACTTCACACAATATAATAGTAATTTTATTTTACTTTACAACTGCAAAATTACAGTATTAATATTTATAGCTCAAACATTAAATCGAACCAGTTTATAAGCACTTCTCATTACAATGAGAAGATGGTTGGCGCATGTTGTGTTCCCAAATGCACGTTATAAGGGACTCAAACTCAAAGCAGATATGCAGAAATGAGTTTGTGTGGAGATACTTTTACTGTGAACCAAACTTCTCTGAGCCAGTGAGTGAAAATGTGTAAATGAACACAACTTAACTCAAAAACATGCAGCATGTACATTTCAATGCAATTTGATAATCTCATTAAGCCATTATCGCAAATTGTATTTTAATTTGATTAATCGTGCAGCCCTAATTTAAAATATCGTGCAAAGTAACTATAAGCAATGAGGTCTAAGGACAAAATTTCACCTCTTGGTGGGGCGATGGTATGCACGGCACTTCTGCGATACCCGGGCAGATTTTGAAGGGTGTCTGTTTTTGATGAACTTTCCTCTGAGAGGTTCATGGAGATCGGTCGCGAGTGATGGACTGCCAAGTTGGGCTGAGATCGGGCAGAGTGCAGACTAGAGAACGACTCCTCACCTTCAGCGCTTCCTGGTGTTTTCTAAACAAGAAAGAATAATACAAACTCTTTATAACCTTTGCAACCCAAGAAGCCATGAATTCACTAGTCAATTATTACTAATTAATATTACTAGTCAATGTCTATGTAAAGGCAAATCAGCTGGCACTGTTGGGAAGCTATTTTCAGTCATGCAAGTACAGCTATCTATTCTCTTGTATGTGGAAATAGCGGAATCTGCTTGAACTTACAACTAAATAACATTTAAAATCAGCAATTACCTCCGACATAAAACCTCTCATAAATGCAGTTTCTTGCGCACAAATAGAATTAAAATAGAGAATATTTCAGGTTGGTCCAACCAATGCACGAGCAGCCATAATTGTGAGTAACAGCATTGCAGTAATGTGTGAAAATTAGGCTAAAAACTGTATATACACTGTTAAAACAAATATGCTTTATCTAATCAAAAAATTGTGGCAACAGATTACAAGCAATATTATTAATTAAATTTAACAAATTAGAATTGAGTAATAATTAATCGAATTAATTCCTTAAAAGTTAACCATTTAAAATGAGTAAAACTTACAACAACAACCAAAAAAAAAAACTGAATTCACCATTATGGTGATCGGTGTTCGTTTTAGGTTTGTTTTAAAATTAAGTTTTTCTCCTTCAGTGATTCTTCTTGTTAACATCAGGTGTCTTCAATGTTGGGAATATAAAATAAAAAGTTCTTAATTAATTTTGATGCTTGTCTGTTAGTGAGATATTTTTGTTAATTTTTTTGGTGTAAACTTTACTGATTTTAAATGGTTAACTTTCAAGGAATTAATTTGATTAATTATTATTCAATTCTAATTTGTTAAATTTAATTAATAATATTGCTTGTTATCTGTTACCACAATTCTATTGATTAGATAAAGCATATTCATTTTTACAGTGTATGTATCATGTTGGTCCAGTCAAAGTTTTCTGTAAAGACCTGACTGAATTTTACTGATTGGCTCTTTAATGTTGAAGGTGGAACTAACTTTACAATAGCCAAGCCAACTCAAACTTTTTTTTAACCCAATGAAATGTAGAAGGCAAAAAGACATTTGTGCATTTCCAACCTTAGCAAGTGTGATGTTGATGACTTGTGTAGTACGCCGCCTGCGGGCCGAAGCGGTCAACTTCTTTGCAGAGTCAACCACAAGATCGCCAATGGAAGTGATGCTGGACTCCAGTTTGTGTTCAAAGGCATCGTTGTGATCTGCTTTACGTTTGTTGCCTTGTTGACCCATTGGCGTGAAGTAGAGAGTCTCCAGGGATTCGGCCCCCAAGGCACGGCGTTTAGCAGCCAAGCGCTCAGAACTGCGTACTAGCGGAGTGCTGGATTCACCCGGTACTGCTGAACGACTGGGAAAAGAGGACAATGACACTGCATGAGTTACCTGGAATACTATGTGAGAAACCTGTACAATGATGCTGGTTTAGCTACCCGTCAGGGTTGAGCGAATCGTTCAGCTCAAACTCCAAGCTGTCGGTGCTGGTGTCCTGACGTTTCTCTGGGACTCGTACGTACTGACTTTCCCTATGTCTCATGTACTCGATGTCATCAGTCATCTTCGTATGGTCTTGCAGTTGCCTATCAGCAAAATCGACCTGAGACCAACACACAATCAATCATGCAATTCAACAGGAAACTCAAACATTTCAAAACTTGTTTCGTTTTCACATTATTGAAACATTAAGGCTGTGTGTCCACCAAAGCGTTTTTAGCCAGCTGAAAACGCTAGACGCTCTGCTGAAGACGCCGTGCTTTGAGCGCTTGAGAGCGTTTTTTTTTTTCCATTGAGACGTTTCGTTGCTATGACACAGAATATCCGCAGCACAGTTTGAATGTTGTGACAGTTTGTAAGTGTGGTTTAGTCCCGCCCCTCCTCCACTGTGATTGGACGGCCATGTTTCCATCGACACGTTTTTATCCGAATTAAGTGATATCGAATGAAAAATGCCTTATGGAAACAGTAAAATTCGATGAAATTTCATGAAACTTGACTCAAGTGAAATACGTTCGGTCTCATCGGATTTTATCTTGATCGATATACGGCTAATGCGATAAAAGCTGATGGAAACGTTATTTGCCGAATAAATAATGAATTGCGATTAAGTTTTAGGCCCTTTTATGGTTGCAACACGCCAGAAGACGAGTTCATTTCCGGCCAGTCTGTTTGCGCACACATGGCGGATGTCAACAAAGACCGATGTAAGATAAGTGGACAAAGCAAAAAAATGCTTCAACCAAAGGGTTTCCATGAACCAGGATCTCCCAGAACTGATGGAGCGCTCGTTCCCACACCACTCGTCGGGCATACGTGCATCGGCATCATCATAGCAATGTTTATAGCGTCGTTGTTTTCTTAGGTTAGTTTTGCTTGTTTTTACGTGGCTTGGTTGAATTCTAATGTATAATGTGGTCTGTTATTTCTTGTTAACAGACTGCGGCGCTGCTAGAATAACACACCGTTGCCATGGACCCAGTTCAGAGACGGAACAGACTATTTTCTTTAGCAGAAGCAATACTCGTTTTTAAGTCAAATTATTGATTTATTTATTTGGTTGATTTATATGTAATAAGTAGGGCTGTGCAAAAGTTAATTGCGATTAATCGCATCCAAAATAAAAGTCTCTGTTTACATAGTATATTTGTATGTGCTGTATATAATTATTTAGTATATATAAATACACACACATGCATGTATGTGTTTAAGAAAATGTGTTATTCCTATATAAAATATTTATATTTGTATAATATAGATTATGTATTTATATATATATACAGAATTTAAGCGCAAATAATTCTTAAATATATACATGCATGCATAGGTATTTATATATACAAAATAATTATATACAGCACACTCAAATATATTATGTAAAACAGACTTTTATTTTGGATGCGATTAATCGCAATTAACTTTTGCACAGCCCTATTAATAAGCAGGATAATGTATAGCGAGACGGTTGTTGTAGCAAATACAACCCCTTCAGGCTAACGATCGCCTATATCCCATACATATGTCGCTATCAGCTGGCACATAAGCATTATTTAGGCTTTCACTTGTGAAATATTGATCATTTGTTGGTAGATGGCGCGATCCGTTTTGTCTAACAAAACTTTGTTCGCAAAAGTTTGCTTGAATGTTGTTCGATTCAGTGCGAAAATTAATGGAAACACCTTAAAATGTCTCAAATCAATTCGATCGCAAAACAGCATGTGACATCATTACGTACAGGTTTTTATTCGCTTTAAAGCCGCTGGATGGAAACACACTTTCATCAGCTTTATTCGCATGTGTTTTTTTTTTTTTTACCAAACTTCAGATAATTCGATTGACAAGTGGATGGAAACATGGCTAGTGATGAGCGCTGCGTATTATCCAAAGTTTAACTTTTTCCAACTCTCGGCGACCAGAAAAAAACGCTCAGCGCCTCGTTACGCTCATGGCGTTTAAAAAACGCGGCGCTCCCATTGAAAACAAATGCCAGACGTGTGGAAAAACGCTTTGGTGGACACACGTCCTAAGAATGTAAACTAACTTGTGCCTCCAGGTTTTTCACTTTGGCCGCAAGCTTCTTCTCTTTGGCGTTTGCCTGGTCTAGCTCCATGCGTGCTAGCTTCAGTTCCACCTCAAGAGCTTTAACTTCCCTCTTACTGGCCTGAAGTGATTGCTCAAAATTTTTGTTCAGTTCCTGAGCCTCCACCAGCAGCTGTTTTTTACCGTTGTAGTGATTCATGGCTTTCTCCACCTGAGGAAGAACCATAAGACAGCCATTGAGTTTTAAATAAGGGCGGGTGATATCAAACTAGAGCAATTCAGTTGTGCAATAAAGATTCTTCATAGAAACAAAGCAAGATCTAACTCAACACGGACCTGTGATTTGTAGTGCTCTACTGCTTCTGACTTTGTCTTCAGCTGTTCCAGGAGTTCCTGATTCTGTTCCTCCCACTGTCGGGAAGCCTTTTTAAGAGCAAGGATTGAACCGTTTTTCTCCTCAATCTTCAACTCGAGCTCAGCTCGAATCTTCTGGGAGGCGTCACACTCCCTCTGGAGAGACTGGTTGAGAGAAGTCAAATGGCTCCTTTCTTGCCTCAGCATCTCCAAATTCTGCTGGCAGCCATCCAGTTGATGTTTGTTGGCATCGAGTTCAACAATCCTCTTCTCCAGTTCCTCCTTCGCCTGATGCATCTCAATGACGTCTTTTTCCTTTTGTTGGCACATCTCTTCCGTCTGCCTCAGCTTTTGATCCAAAGACTCCAAAAGATGTTTTTTGGCAGTAACCTCACAATTGGCAGTGTCTAGTTGTCTCTGTAGTGTTTCGACCTTCTCTTCAGACTGTTTGGCCCTTAATTGTTGATCATTCATTTCATTTCGAAGAGAACTTATTTGAGCTTCCCTTTCAGAGGCGAGAGCGGAGACCTCTTGTATTTTAGCCTGAAGTTCACATACGCCCTTCTCGAGGTCCTGAGCCTTTTTGCTAGACTCATTTTGAAGCAACATAAGCTCAGACTCCTTCTGAGAAGCTGCAGTTGTCAGCTCTGCCACTTGCGTCTTAAGAGCAGCCAAGTTCTCCATTAATGTGTTGTGTTTACCCTCTAAAACAAACATCTCCTGTTGCTTCCGGACTTCACTTTCCTGGTAACTGCGGATTTTATCATTGAGAGATGTTACTTCGGTTGACAGATGCTCTCTTTCTTTCTTCACCAACTCTAAATTCTGCTGGTGCCCTTCCAGTTGTTGTTGTTTCACAACAACAAGCTCATCAATCCTCTTCTCGAAGTCATCCTTTACCTGCTGCATATCGAGAACATCTTTCTCCTTTTGTTGGCACAACAGTTCCGACTGATTCAGCTTCTGATACAAAGTCTGCAAGAGTTGGTCTTTGTCTGTGACTTCAAGAGTGGCTGTTTCCAATTGTCGCTGAAGGGTTTCTACTTTCTCCTCTAGCTGTGTGCGGAGATCATCTTCAGACTGTTTGGCCCTTAATTGTTGATCATTCATTTCATTTCGAAGAGAACTTATTTGAGCTTCCCTTTCAGAGGCGAGAGCGGAAACCTCTTGTATTTTAGCCTGAAGTTCACATACGTCCTTCTCGAGGTCCTGGGCCTTTTTGCTAGACTCCTTTTGAAGCAACATGAGCTCAGACTCCTTCTGAGAAGCTGCAGTTGTCAGCTCTGCCACTTGTGTCTTAAGAGCAGCCAAGTTCTCCATTAATGTGTTGTGTTTACCCTCTAAATCAGACATCTCCTGTTGCTTCCGGACTTCACTTTCCTGGTAACTGCGGATTTTATCATTGAGAGATGTTACTTCGGTTGACAAATGCTCTCTTTCTTTCTTCACCAACTCTAAATTCTGCTGGTGCCCTTCCAGTTGTTGTTTCACAACAACAAGCTCATCAATCCTCTTCTCGAAGTCATCCTTTACCTGCTGCATATCGAGAACATCTTTCTCCTTTTGTTGGCACAACAGTTCTGACTGATTCAGCTTCTGATGCAAAGTCTGCAGGAGTTGGTCTTTGTCTGTGACTTCAAGAGTGGCTGTTTCCAATTGTCGCTGAAGGGTTTCTACTTTCTCCTCTAGCTGTGTGCGGAGATCTTGTAACTCGTTTTGAAGAGAAGCCTCTCTCTCAGAGGCAAGAGCGGAGACCTCAAGGATTTTAGTTTGAAGTTCACTCACTGTTCTCTCAAGTTCCTGAGCCTTTTTTCTAATACGTTCTTGTTCATGAAGCTCATTTTGAAGCAAGAGAAGCTCCGAATTTTTCTGTGAGGCTGCAGTCGTCTCCTCTAATAACTTCTTCTCAAGCCCAGCCATGTTTTCTTTTAACTGGTTGCATTCTACCTTTAAAACCGACATCTCTTTTTGCTTTTGCACTTCAGTGTCCTGGTAACTGCGTATCTTATCATTGAGAGAGTCTACTTCAGTTGACAGGTGATCTTTTTCCCTCCTTACCATCTCCAAATTCTGCTGGTACTCTTCCAGTTGTTGTTTCTCATCAACAAGCCTCTTCTCCAGATCCTCCTTTGCCTGATGCAATTCCAGGACATCTTTCTCCTTTTGAAGGGAAAGCCCTTCCATCTCCTTCAACTTTTGATCTAAAGACCCCAGCAGATTGTCTTTGTCTGCAGCACAACGATTGACCGCATCTAGTTCTCCTTGTAGGGTTTCTACCTTCTCCTCTAGCTGTGTGCGGAGATCATCTGCAGACTGTTTTGCCCTCAACTGATCCTCCAACTCATTTTGAAGAGAAGCCTCCCTCTCAGAGGCAAGAGTGGAGATCTCTAGGATTTTATCTTGAAGTTCACTCACTGTTCTCTCAAGTTCCTGAGCCTTTTCTCTAATATGTTCTTGTTCATGAAGCTCATTTTGAAGCAAGAGAAGCTCCGAATTTTTCTGTGAGGCTGCAGTCGTCTCATCTAATAACTTCTTCTCAAGCCCAGCCATGTTTTCTTTTAACTGGTTGCATTCTACCTTTAAAACGGACATCTCTTGTTGATTTTGCACTTCAGTGTCCTGGTAACTGCGTATCTTATCATTTAGAGAGTCTACTTCAGTTGACAGGTGATCTTTTTCCCTCCTTACCATCTCCAAATTCTGCTGGTACTCTTCCAGTTGTTGTTGTTTCTCAACAACAAGCTCACGAATCCTCTTCTCCAGATCCTCCTTTGCCTGATGCAATTCCAGGACATCTTTCTCCTTTTGAAGGAAAAGCCCTTCCATCTCCTTCTGCTTTTGATCTAAAGACCCCAGCAGATTTTCTTTGTCTGCAGCACAACGATTGACCGCATCTAGTTCACCTTGCAGAGTTTCTACCTTCTCCTCTAGCTGTGTGCGGAGATCATCTGCAGACTGTTTGGCCTTCAATTGATCCTCCAACTCATTTTGAAGAGAAGCCTCCCTCTCAGAGGCAAAAGTGGAGACTTGTTGGACTTTACCTTGAAGTTTACTTACTGTTCTCTCAAGTTCTTCACGCTTGGCAGTCTCAAGCTCCTGAGCCTTTTTTCGAAGGCTTTCTTGTTGGTGAAGCTCATTTTGAACTAAGAGAAGCTCAGCATCTTTATGTGAAGCTGTAGCTGTCGCCTCAGCCAGCTGGTTCATAAGAGAGGTCAGGTTTTCCTGCAACACGCTGAGATTGGTCTCTAAAACAGAGATTTCTTGTTGTTTCAGATCTTCATTTTCACTGTAACGGCAGATCTGCTCTTTCAGAGAGGTTACCTCCGTTGACAGCACCAGCATTTCCTCTTGTTTTTCTGATGCGGCTGAAGAAGCCGAGTGAAGCTCTTGCTGAAGTTTTTTAACCGTCTCCTCATGCTCTTTGCGATTTGATTTGATCAATTGGTTTATTTCAATATTTTGTTCCTTCACAAGCTTCAGCTCGTGGTCAACAGAGTCGTACTCGTTCCTCAGATTTCTGATTTCTTCGTCCTTTAGGGAAATCTGCTCGGACATTTCCAGAATGTGAGTTTGGAGGCTTTCGATTTTAGTCAAAGCCTGACTAACCTGGTTCTCTCCTTCAGTTTTCTCCTGTCCGAGAACATTTATTTGCCCCTGAAGGTCTCCAATGGCCTGCAGATGCTCATCAAGCTCCTGCTGCAATGTGCACGCCTCCTTTTTCAAAGAAACATTCTCTGCTACCACTTTTTGATGCTCTTCCAGCTTCTTCTCATATTCCTGAACTGTGTTCTTGGCGCTTTGCAACTCAATAATCAAGGCATTCAGGACGTCCTGTTGTGATGCTCTCTCCACTTCCAAACCCTGGATCTCAGCATGCAGAGCATGAACCATCTTGTCTAAAGAGACAACCTTCCCCTCCAGCTCTTCTCTCTGTTGGCGGAGGTCGGCAGAGATTTTGATCTCCGCTGTCAGCTGCGCTTCCACTTGCTGCAGACGAGAAACATCACTTTCCAGAGCTGATATCTGCGCAGTGAGCATTTCTTTCTGACTCCGTAATGCCTCCTCTAGTGTTTCTCTCTCCAAACGGATGCTGTTGACTGACTGCTCCAGATCGAACACAACTATCTGTAGTCTTCTGGTTTCCTTTTCAAAAGAGGCTCTCTCCTCGGCCAACAAAGCCTCAACTTTCGTCTTCTCCTTCTCAAGACGGGAAATAGTGTCCTGAAGCTCAGCAAGTTTAAGAGTCAGATCTGCCAGCTCCTGTTTAAGCTTTTCCCACTGAGAAAAACAAAAAGAGATTAAAAACGTTAGTCAATATAGGCCACTTCTATTAAAGTTGTTTCTTCAATATTTCCTTTTAACAGTCAATGCATGTGCTGAAAGAACATGAAATGAGCTTTAGACTCTAATTAACCCTGATTATTTTAGGTTAAAGATAATGTGTATCATCATGATAAATAATTAGATATCAATCTGCATATCATGCTAATATTTAGTAGCTCCTTTGAAGTAGAGCCAGACCGATATTATCGGCCAATATTAGGCATTTTCCAAAATATCGGTATCGGCAATCAATATTCAAAAAATAAAAATAAAAACAGACGAAACATGCTTCAATCATCTCTCCTTGGCCTGTTATATTGAAAATGTATGTTTTACAATTTGCAGTATGATGCTATGTATTGCTAAATTATGGCTCATCATAGACTAGCTAACCACAAAGCTATATGCCACTATCATCAGTGGAAGACTGTTAACATTAATGAGCTTGGAAACCACAATGAACTTTTTGCCTAAATAAAGTAATGATTACTGTATTTATAACTAGCATATCTCTAGTTACAGTCCCTGCATTGTAAAATGTAAGTTATACTTGCGAGGAGTGAACATTTAGACATAGAGAAAAAGTATCAAACGTATCTTGTGCAGAAAAGTTAGCTTTTCTTTTACACATATGTGAAATCCAACAATATTTAATAAAAAAAAATAAATAGCGGCCGATATATCGGAATATCGGATTTTAAAACCCAAAAATATTTGTATCAGTATCGGCCTTCAAAATCCTTTATCGGTCGGGCTCTAGTTTGAAGGCATCTTGAATAAAACAGCTAAATATTTAGCAAAGCCCATACAAATAAAGACCTAACCTGAAGCCATGTTTGTTGAACATAACATTTTAGACATACTGACCAAATTATAAGATTCTTTCTATCAGAAAACAAAATATAACCCTGTGTAAACATTATTATGACAGAAAGACTATCTCACCTCCATGATGGGTCCCAAAACCTCTCCTCTCTCCTGAGACTGAGCTTTCAGGAGTTCATCCTCCAGAACGGAGATCTTTCCCTGAAGGATCTGCACTTGCTCACTCAGACACTCCTGAACGAGGAGAACAGGAGAAAGAAAACAATGCAGATGAATACATACCAGTCAGGTTGAGTAGAAAGCAAAGAAACACAACATGATTAACGTAATTGAAATGCTCTACCCTGTGTGTGACGGCCTCGTTCAACTCGTGCTCGAGAAACTCCTTTCTGCTCCTCCACTCAGCCAGTGACGATTCATGAGCCGACGTGAGTTTAGTAACTTCCTCCTCGGCTCTCGCCAGCTGAGCGAAGGCGTTTCGCACCTGATGATTTTAGTGTGAGAAAGAAATTTATTTTAAACAGGTTTGCAAGACAGAAAGGAAGAGGGAAAATAAAAGTATCTCACCTGAGCAGCGAAAGTTTGGTTCTCATCTGTTAGTTTATCAATCTGTTTGTCCTTCTGAGAGTTTTCGGTTTTTAAGTCATGGCACTGCTTCACAACTTCGTGCACTCTGCGGAGAAGACTGTACAAGAAAAAACAGCTTTACAATAAGTCTCATTTCTTAGAATTAGCTAATGCATTAACTAACACGAACCAGTAATATATTTCATAGTATTTAATAACACTTTTCCATGCATTATTAATGTTTATAAAACAAAAAATCTCACTGCTCACTGAATCACTTAATTTCAATAAGAATAAATGTGTATTTTAATTTACACAGTGATTTGCAGTGTTCTCATACATTTGATTACTTTTCAATTTATTTAGTATTTCTTATTTCTAGTGCTTGAAGGTTTTCAGTTAGGCCTATTTCACTTGTGTCTTTGTTCTATCATAGATTGTTTTCCATTATGCTTGTAATTAGTTCGTTTTTTTTTTAAATCACCATTTACTTTTCTTTAGTAAGCTTGACAGTTTTTTTTAAAGGCATTATAAAAGTATTTTATAGAAGTATTAGTTTAAATAATATTGAAAATGGTGACAAGATAATGAAATTTCAAATCATAAATACCTTATTTAAAGCAAAAATAATTATATAGTGCATAATTGTTATCGTGAAATAAAATTACTCGTATCATGATCAATGATTTTGGTCCTTTCGGCCACCCCTATCTGGTATTAAGAAGCGTTTTTGTCGATCTGAACACAAATGGACGATGCTAAATACAGGTGTAAACGGGGTCTGAAATGTTTTGAGTTCGTCCCCTTTCCACCACTTCCAGAGGTAGTTGAAAACACCTTCGCTTTCGTAGTGTAAACTGTAAACGCTCATGTGGTAAAAACAGCCACAAAAGTCTACTCTCCACCTTCTGACCTGACTCGTAAACATTACAGGAAGAACGCAAGCCAGACGGGGTTTAAACTTTGTCGACTGGAGACACAATTTGGTTTATAAACAAAAAACGTATCAAGCACAATGTTTTCTCCACGTTCCTGATTTCTAACACACAAAAACACATAGCGTTTGGCGAAATCTTGCGTCTATCAGAGCAGAAACAAAAGCTGATGCTCTCTGTATGTTTTTCCACCGTCTCCGGTGGCGTGTTCACGTGTAAATTGCGTGAGATAACATCATTCATTAGAACGAAAGATCTGAGAAAAAAAAAACAAATTTACCCGCTTATAGACCCTCCCCTCAAATAAATCAGGACAGAAGTGGGCGAAAAAGGAAACGAGACGGATTCAAACACCAGGTGTAAATGAGAATGCATCTCCCTCGTCTACTTGTGATCCGATCGACCAAAACACATTTTAATACCAGGTCCACCTTCCCCTTCTTGTGCCTCACCTCTCGTTCTTCTCCTGCAGCTCCAGAAGAGCAGCTTTATGGTCTTTCTCCAGCTCTCGTTGCTCTCTCAGCATTCGGTCCACCCTGTGCTGCAGCTGGACTATCAGACCCTCTGTATGCAAAAGAGAGAGACATTCAGCCAAATTCACACCAGTTTAGATTAGAGTTATAGGATACAAATGAAACCTTTTTCAGAGATGATGTTGATCTGATCAGTCAGTTCTTTCTCCAGCTCGTCTCTCACATCTCCCTCATGTGCCAATTCTTTCCGGAGTCGCTTCAACTGGAAATGTGGTGTGCTCATTAAATCCGGCACTGGAGAGCTGGAGATCAGGGATGCATGGTTATTATTTTGGGATTTATCACTCAGTAAATTAGCATTTACAAATCTATAAATTTTCCAACATCAAGCTATATTAAAGGGAAATCCTGTACAGTACATATTTGATGCTTAGACTTAATCCATTATTGAGTTAAGCTTAATCTACGACATTTGTAGTGTAATGTTTATTACCACAAAAAATAGTTTTGACTCGTCCCGCATTTTCTTAAAAAGGAAGGCACCTTTAATGGAAGCGAATGAACCCATTTTTGGAGGATTTAAAATCAGAAAATTAATTTTTAAAATCACTTACATAAATTTTTCAGTTAAAAATGTGTGAATTCATTGAGCTGTAAAGTACTTTTTATAGTCGTTTTTGGGTTTTGGGATTTATGGCATTGTGCTGTCGTGACGAAAAAGTTATAGAACTTTGCATAGATACGGTTAGTGAGCCATTTTTCTCAAAAAAAAAAAGGTTAAATAAAGCCACAAATGTGTTGATTATTTCATAAAACATTAACTTAATGGTTTTATTTTAAACAAAAAGTATTTTCAGTACGTGCTTGCTTACTTTTTAGTATCACTGATAATACAGTTATACATTTCTGAAGCTGTGACTTTAACATTTTAGATAGTTTAAGTTAAGAAGCCGTTTTGTCCTTCTCCACGGGATCAGGACATAACGCACTGACCTGTCTGAGCTGGACGCCACTGTGCAAAGCTCTTGAAACTGAACTCTGGGAGGCCGCTGGAACCGGCTGAAGAGCGGAGACTCGTCGTCAGTGTACGATATCGAGCTGCCGCTGCTCACGCCGCTCGAGTTCACAACCGTCGGAACCGCTAGAGACAGAGGGTTCATGAACAAAGATTACATTTGGAGGAAATATTACAGATATGACCATACCTTTCCAGTTGAATGATCACTTTATTTCTATTACAGGTTACCAGAAATGTTGTGTTTAAGTATGCGAAATTAGGGATTATCTAATTAGATGTACTCCAATTTTCAATATTTCCAGAACAGAAATCCAAACACTGGATAAAGCCAGGTTTAAAAGATTGACATAAAAAGGTAAAGGGTTTTACAGAGGGGATTTTGATCTTTTTTTAATCACTCAAATCAGAAAATACTGTCAACAGCCAGAGAGGGGGGAGAAGAAAAAAAAAAAATCACAATTTTAATTTTTAGGATTAAAATAAAATGAGGGTAATAATGTATGAATAAACCGCTCTGAAGAAATACAACTGTAAATTGGTGTATATAAAGCTCCTGAAGTGGAGATTTCTGACTCTGAATGAGGGAAAAGCCTTTAAAGATATGTACAGATACAAACAGATAAATTGAATCCACTAGTTTGAAACAAAATGTTATGAAAACCCAAATAGCATTTGCCTTCACTTACTTATGCATTATCCATATTGCTTTTGAAAACACTGATACACACAGTCAGTAATGCACACGTGCTCAAACACTTAATCACATGACTACTTACAGTCTTGGTCTAGAAACTGATCCAAGCCTTCGTCTAACGACAAACCATCAAGATCAACTTTAACAAAACGAAACATGGATGTAATCTCCGGCTGACACAGAAAGAAACACAAAAGAACATTTGTTAAAGAGTGACAATTTCAAAATGAGATGTATCGAGTAACACTAGATATACAGAGAGCGAAGCATCTATCGGTCGTTATAGACTCACCAATTCTGTTCTTGAATCCAAGGGTAACAGGTTGCCCTTTTTAAAACTGCAGTAACATAGCAGAAGCATCACCTGTGCACAGATAAACACATAACATTTAACCTGCATATCATTAAAGGAACAATTCAACCCAAAATTATTTTACATGCCTTCCATCTATGATTTTTAGAAGGAGCGGCTTTTAAATCAGTGTGTTTCAGACTGACTGTGAATAGAGAAGCTGCTATAATGGACATTAAAACATGTTAATGTACTCTATTACACACAATATACAAAATAATGAACTTTTAAAATACCATCAAATGATCCCTCTATAACTTGATTTATTTTTTGTTATCCAAACCACTATGATATATTCATAAAATATTTCAACATTTTAGATGTTACAGACCACCAAATATGATCATTCTCATGAAAGGAGCCACATCCTAAATTTAAATTGGCTTAATACACTAGTATAGAGACTATAGTTTCTATTAAAGTGTCCCTAATATCCTCTTTAATGCAGTGAATAACATAATTTGTTAATGCAAAATGTCTCTGCAAAGTTTTAAAGATACAACAGATCAAAAATATCGATTCTGAACTGCCCGAAACGAGTCGTCCGTAACTTCAGTCTCACTTCCTGTTACAAACCCAAGTAGCAAATTTGCATAATTACGGCCAATGGTCTTCATTGGCGGCTGCCTGTGAAAAATGGTTTAAAAATGCCTCAAATACTTTAGTTGTAGCTGAGACTTTCTTGTTGTCGACGCTGTTTTGTTAGATGTAGTATTTATCATAATCTAATAGTTTACATTAATTACATTTTATTAGATAATGTTTTAATCAGTATCTAATATTTATTTGTATTATTTTTATTAATTTCGTTTGAAACCTCCTGATTTAGAGTGCAAATACCTTAGCAAGCTGGAGCTCCAGGTCAATCCCATGACTGATTTTCTGTAAGATGAGGAAACTTTGTCTTTTGGTGAGGTGATATTTATCTGCATATGGAAAAGAGAAAGTTTAAAACAAGCTCTTCTTACCTTAAATTCTAAATGCAGAAATTTTTTTTTATTTTAATAAATGAAAAATCATTTGTGCACATCAATCTGGCAAACATTATAGTTATGACCGATGTTGAGATTTCAAAATGTATATAGCCCAAGTTACTTTTAATGTAAGTGCCGTACCACAACCACATTTTTATAAATGAGTGACAAGTATTTTCATCGCTAACCAACATTTTTATCCAAATACTGGTAATAGAGCATAATGCCACTATTAATAAAGTAGTTTCTCATTAATTTCACAATGTCTACAAAAAATTAACTAAAACTACAGATGTGGTACAAGCATGAGATTGTAGAAAGAAAGACACGAGCACAGATTTAAAACTCACCATGCAAATCATTGAAGATGATTTTCAATTTCTCATCCAGGGATAAAGTCTTTAAAACCTCAATGTTCTCCTCCCCGTTTCTACAGTAATGGATGAGGCATTAGTCAGAGGCAAATTATGTTGCAAGTCATTTCCATATGACCATGTCAAAATGACAACTCACAGTTTGCCGAAGATCTCCAGGAGTCGGATCCCATCTCTCAAATGAACGAACTCCCAGATCGGCTTCTCTGGAAACATGGCGTTCATCTGTCAAAAGGACAACCGTCAATATTAAGATCTCTTGAAACTTTATAGAGGAAATATTTTAGATGTTAAACCTATAAAACAGACATTAAAATGTTAAAGATGACAATAGATTCAAATAACTACCCAGACAGCAACATAGTGTCGGCTCACATCAGGGGCCGGTTTCACAAAGATAGACTTTGACTATGTTTGTTGTAAAATCCAGATCCGGGCCAACACCATGTTGCTATCCGTCATTACTCTCTTAATATTTTCTTGAGTAAAGAAATCAAAATCATATATGCAAGTTCTGTACATCTGTGGATGACACACAGTAGAATTTAATACTCTGTGAGTTTTTTTGTAATTTATCCATCATATTATTAAATTACTTTTAAACAAAATATTACTTATAATTCTGTATGAAATCCAAAAGGAACACATTTGTGTCAATACATTAAATTAAAATGAGAGAACTGTCTTACCCATATCAACAGTGGTCCCGCCTTGGTCCTGTTGAACTTCATGGTGAACTCTATAAAACATTTTAAATCCGTTGTAATGAAACCAGCAAGATGTCACACAGATTATGAAGTGTGCGTGCTTTATGTTTACACTTATGTTGTAAATCTACTTCTGTATAACAGATAACGTTACTGTAACAGCACAAAGAGAACATTTCTTCAATGACATTGCATGACATTTGATTATTTTAATCATAATAAACAAAACTCAAACCTATGACACATATCGGTAAACCTTAGTGCACATTATTGCTTTAATACGACAGTGCAATATATAATATGATTAGCATTACATTATTATTTTCAAGTAAGTTAACGTTACGTTTTTGCTTTGCTTGTTTGTTTACCCTGCAGCGTTTTGTCCGCTTACATTACCAATATTTAAAAAACAAATCGACCAAGGCAAAAATACTGTCCTCGTAAAACAACCCAAAAGCTAACTATACTTATTTATTATTAAGAATTATATGTTTTACCGTGATTTCGGGTAAAGTCGAAGCAAAGACGCACGTCGAATCCTTCACTCAAACATTTTCAAATTCAAAACTCACAACGACGAATTGAATCTGAACAGCTATTGGTTATCACGTGATGACGCAAATCAAAATAGCCAATGAGAGCGCAGCTTCGTCCGCAACGCCCTTGTAGGAAGTCTTACTGGCTGGTTACTTCCGGGTTCTGGACTGGCTGCAGTAACGCGTCTCTGTCCATGCGGGGGCGCTCGCGGTCGAGTGCAGAATGAATGGGAGTCAATGGGGTTTACATCCACGTTTCTCAGGATGTAATTTTTTGTCAAGTAATTTGAAAGTTGCATTCAAAAGGGAGGGCTAAGAAAATACACTCAGCTGAAAATTGCATTTTTAAGTTCACTTATCTGTTCTAAAAATCCGTTCAAAAATGTGATGACGTCACACAATAGCAGAATGCTAGCGTGTTCCGGCCAACAACACCCTAACCTGTAAGACATCGAAAGGACATAAGTACTCGTTCATTCGACTTTTGGCTTATAATCTATATTGAACTTGCGGAATCAACAATAAAATCTATTTTGATTTAACGACAAGCAGGTGAAAGAGACACATTTAGCCGTTTAGCCCCATAGACTCCCATTCATTCTGCGCTCGCCCGCGATCACCTCCAGTGGAATTCTAATGGAACTGCAACCAAGATGATAATAGGAAAGTGCCAAGGCTCTCCGTTTTAGACGGGCTCTGGTCTTACGAAAATTCTCCAGTTTAGAATGAAATACAACTCCCAGAATGCAATACTATGCGCGTTGTTTTCTATGGTAACGTTGTTGCGGTCTGCCCATGCTGGCGTGACCCTAACTTGCTTTAAAGAACACCTAAAATTACGACGACAATTTAGAAAATTATTCGTTCATTATAAACTTGCATAGTAACTATATGTAAAATCCATCTTTTTTGCTTTATGCACTTCGTTTCTTGACCATTCAGTGTTTGTACTCTTCCATCTGTTATTTGTAGTATTCTTGTTTTTTGCAGTCTGGGGGTTTTAACATGTTTGGATCTCCAGTGGACTTTTCCTTTAAGGAGCTTAAAACAATTCCAGGTGTGTTTCCACGATACACTTTTATATTTGTTTGAAAGTTTGCTTAAATCGCACTTCTTAATTTTTAGATTTTAAATTTGTCAACATTAGGAACGTATTTTATTTCCAGAAATGAGTCACGATGTCGAGTGAAACAAAACAGAACAGAAGCAGAATCATAGACAGTAGGGAATAGAATGCTTTAACGAGTCCGTCCTTTGAGTCGGATCTTACCAAATGAATCGGTTCAACTGGTTCACAGAATTAAAGGAGTAGTTCACTTTTAAAATACATTTTTGCTGATAATTTACTCACCCCTGTCATCCAAGATGTCCATGTCTTTCTTTCTTCAGTCGAAAAGAAATTAAGGTTTTTAATGAAAATATTTCAGGATTTTCTCCATATAATGGACTTCATTGGGAACCAAATGGTTCAAGGTCCAAATGAGAGTTTCAGTGCAGCTTCAAAGGGCTTTAAACGACACCAGACAATGAATAAGGGTCTTATCAAGCGAAACGATCGCTCATGTAAAACATACATAAAAAAGTTTAAGTTTTATAAGCACAAATGCTTGCCTTGCTCTCTTCTGTGATGAGGGGGGGTGGGGGGTGAATTGGACAATTTTTTTTTTTTTTTTACAATAATTGAAATCAGAAATGTTACTTCATATAATATATATGTGTGGAAATTTGAAGAGGTTAAAATAATTTATTAGATTTCTCCCCAGAAAAAAAAGACAGAAAAAATATTATCAATCTGTATCTATATGTACAAATATTGATTGCAGTGCATTGCTTTTCCTCTAAAGCACTATTAACTTTCTTTCCATCCCTTTTTCTTCAGACATTCTTTCTGTTGTGCCGAATCCAGGCGCTCCTCGGCTAAAGCGCGACTCAGAGCAGAAGTTCCTCAGCTGGACGCTCAGACTCAACAACAACTTCATCTCAGGCTTGTCAGGTCTGACGGACACAATCTCTGCTCTGTTTGCTGAGCCGACACGTCTGGCCTGGCTTGACCTCTCCTTCAACAACATAGAACACATCGACCCAGTACGCACTTCACCTGTGTCTAGCAGAACCGTTTGTGTGTAACTGATGCATGCAGATTGCGTAGGAGGATCTACATTCACATGTCATTCTCTCTTTCCATCAGGTCCTCACTCAACTTAAAGAGTTACGTCTGTTGTATCTCCATGGAAATCATATTTGTAAGTTGTCGGAAGTGGATAAACTTACTGTGCTGCCGTCCCTCCATACCATCACTCTGCACGGCAACCCCATAGTGACCGAGCCTGACTACAGGTATGGTTGAAGGTCAAAGGGCAGTTAGATGCACAATCAGGGCCTAAAACTAACTTTTTGCCACACTTGCCAAGAAAATATACCAGACATAAACATTTTTTTACCGGTCATAAAAAAATATTTAAAGTACTAGCCATACTAAAATAAATGTAAAACATGATTAAAGACAGTCGGTAATAAAATAAGACAAATAATCATATTACAAGCAATAGCACAAATAAATACAATGTAACAAAGATGTTGTAGGTCTAACAGTAGTTTTTAACTACAGAAATGTGATCAAGTAAGCAAATGTAAAATAACACTGCGTAGTCTTCACTGTATAAATGAAACATCCTTATTAATGAATGCTTATTAATGTTAGAAAGGTTATTCAGTCAAGAGCAGCGAGTGAATTTTTTTTCTTTGTCTAACATTAAAAACACACACAGGAATATTAGGGTGCTGTCACTTTAAGAGTGAATGCACTGATACACAAACATGCATTCACTTTCTCAACTGTTAACATTCACTCAAAGGAGTAGTTCACTTTTCATAAAACTTTTGCTGATAATTTACTCACCCCCATGTCATCCAAGATGTCCATGTCTTTCTTTCTTCAGTCGAAAAGAAATTAAGGTTTTTGATGAAAACATTCCAGGATTTTTCTCCATATAATGGACTTCAATGGGGTCCAAACGGTTCAAAAGACACTTTCAGTGCAAACTGTTTAAAGGGCTTTAAACGATTTATTTTTTTTATTATCACTACATTTTATTATTATTATAATTTAATAATAATAACAATAATAAAATATTATTTTTAGATAATATTATTTTTATTATCGCTATATTTATATTGTTATTTTTTATAATATTTTTTTATTATCCCTAAAAACAAGCTCTGTTATCAAAAATTATCTACAAGAGTTTATGATACTTTAACATTTTGTCCATCAAGATAATTATCACAGATGAACTTTTATGCATTTTAAAGCTTAAATGCAGTCGGCTGAAGTAAAAAGGCTATAAACGAACACCACCATGATCCCACGAATTTGACCCCAAAATTAAGATTTTAACATTTTCATTACACTTGTTTTAATTACATTTTTCATGAATGAATGGAAGTACAACAAATAAATCCATGATATATAAATATTTTTGTTTTTGCATTACAGGAATGTGAATTTCTGTGCTTGATGTTAAACCATACTTTCATTTGTTGTGCAACATATATGGTCTAATTTCTTTCTATTTGATTGTGAGATGAGACCAGACCTGGACATGTCCTTGATTATAGACCATGGGCTGGGAAATGCCTGAACACATGCCGTGTGTGTATCAAAACTATTTGTGATTACTGTTGCTGTGCACAGGACAGCAGAGGTTTGTAACTGGATCCTACCCGCATTTTAACACCTGTTGTACAGAGATCCATAGTGGAAAATCACACAGTTCAGATACAGCAAGATGTGTTTACTGCATGAACGCTGTACTAAGCTCTTATCCACTCGCCATCAGTCGTGCCATGCTGAACTCTTGAGTTGCACAGAACAAAATAAGTTAAACAGATTTGGAACGATTGGAGGGTGAAAAATGAGGACAGACTTTTTCATTTTTGTTTCTGCTCTCTGAATTGCAGAGGGCCTAAAATGAACACTCGCCAAATGCGAGTAAAAGACAGCCATTGATGATTATGAAACGGTGTTTAAACGATTCCAGACGACGAATAAAGGTCTTATCAAGCAAAACAATCGCTCATTTAATAAATAAATAATAAAGTTGAATATTTATAAGCACAATTGCTCGCCTTCCTCAGTTCTGTGAAGCGCTGTTCGTGACTCTCCTGTTCGAACTCGTTTATCAAAATGAACGAATCTTTTCCCGAGTCAATTCGTTCATTTCGTTCGTTGAATGAACCAAATGACACGAAAAAAGATTAGTTCATTTTGATAAATGAGTTCGAAGAGGAGTCATGAAGGCGAGCATTTGTGCTTATAAATCTTAAACTTTGTTATTTATTTATTAAATGAGTGATCGTCTCGCTTGATAAGACCCTTATTCATCGTCTGGAATCGTTTAAAACCCTTATTTCATAGTTTGCACTGAAACTGTCTTTTGGACCTTGAACCGTCTGGTTCCCATTGAAGTCCATTATATGGAGAAAATCCTGGAATGTTTTCATCAAAAACCTTAATTTCTTCTTGACTGAAGAAAGAAAGATATGGACATCTTGGATGATAGGGGTGAGTAAATCATCAGCAAAAATTTTTTAAAAGTGAACTAATCCTTTAAGTCTTCAGTTCACTTAACACTGTATAACACAAGTCGCTAATAACAAGGGCTTCTGAATTCTAGACACAGACCCGGTAAAGTGTTATGAATGCTCAGTATTGTGTTTAAAATCACAGACAAACGTTCAGTATTAGAGGTTTGATTGTTCCAATAAGTTGCTTTTCTGCCTCTCTTCCCAGGGCACATTTGATCTCCACCCTTCCTCGTGTGAAGATGATTGATTTCAGTGCAGTGACCAAACAGGAACGAGAGTTGACTTCAGTTTGGCAAAAGAGCAGAAACACGCGCAAATCCTCGAGTCAAAGCAAAGTCTACTGAACCTTCCTCCCCTGACACCATGTTCTGTTACAGATGGCTTGGGTTTTATGTCTAATGAACATCAATGTTTATTTGCAATGGTTTTATCTACCACAGTTAAAGGAGTAGTTCACTTTTGAAAAAACTTTTGCTGATAATTTACTCACCCCCATGTCATCCAAGATGTCCATGTCTTTCTTTCTTCAGTCGAAAAGATTCCAGGATTTTTCTCCATATAATGGACTTCAATGGGAACCAGACGGTTCAAGGTCCAAAAGACAGTTAATAACAGTTTCAGATGCAGCTTCAAATGTCTTTAAATGATACCAGACGATGAATAAGGGTCTTATCATGCGCGTTCAACCTATGCGTTCAACTTGTAAACACTGACTCTGTACTTCCGGCTACGTCGCCCGTGACCTTTTGAACGTAATTACGTATTACGTGACGTTACAAACGCGCCTCACAGAATAGAGCAAGGCTAGCATTTGTCCTTAGAAAAGTTACATTTTTGGAATAAGTTTTGAAATAACCGATCGTTTCGCATGATAAGACCCTTATTCATTGTCTGATGTCTTTTAAAGACATTTGAAGCTGCTTCTGAAACTGTCTTTTGGACCTTGGACCGTCTGGTTCCCATTGAAGTCCATTATATGGAAAAAAATCCTGGTATGTTTTCATCAAAAACCTTAATTTCTTTTCGACTGAGGAAAGAAAGACATGGACATCTTGGATGACATGGGGGTGAGTAAATTATCAGCAAAAGTTTTTTCAAAAGTGAACTAATCCTTTAAGTTGCCTTTACTATAACCTCATCCAAAACCGTATAATGGTTGCAGGGCTGGAGTTACTTTAGTCAACTGGAGTGTTTCTTCATTAGTTGATGATGAAGTCACACGGATAAGTGGTGAAACATCTGAAGCAACAGAGAAACGTCCACTAAAGCAATCTAGAAGTGTTGCATGCAAACAAAATATTCTCATGTATATCTGCACATTCAATAAAATAATACTTTACAGTTTTGATACAGTTTTGAAAGTCTTTAATGCATAATTTCATTCAACAAAACAGTATTAACAGAATATTGAGATTAAATTTTTGGTACTAGCCTAAGAAACGAGATCTCTGTAAATCAGGTAGTATTCCACATTTAGGATAACAAACAAACTTGAACACTTATTAGTTCACGGCAACAAAAAAAACAAAAAACAAGCCATCTTGAGTCTTGCAGCGTATTTTATCCCTTTAAAAACCTAAAAGAATGAGAAATGTGCCGATCTAGAGCGCCAATGGTGCCACACGGTCTGTATGCGTGCAAAAATACATAAAATCAAAAATAAATAATTACACAAACATACCGTGTGGCATTTCAAACTCGGTCAAGAAGAATGGCAGTTCACAAGTGCTTTCCTCGATTATCGGCACAAAAAACCAAAACAAAATAGTTTGACTGTGTTAAAGCAACTGCATAATATACGTTTAATTTTTTTAATTACATTAAAAGTGGAACAGGCAAGGTAAAAGTGTCCCTGTTTGCTTAGCTAAAAAACAAGCCACTGATCGAGAAGCCTTACAACTAAGGCATAATGCAGCCAGGGGGCGCCGTAGAGCAGTTTACGCTTCCCGCTAATCATTCTTCTTGAATCATTTTACACTTTGTACAGTAAAGGCATTGACAAAAAAAACGTAATTTACAGACTGCCGTCCCACCGCAACCATTCAATCCCGCCGCCCCATCCAAAACTCTCTGATACGACAGTATGTTCATTTGTTAGACGGGCCTCGGTTTAACCAGCGGCCGCAGTTTCTGACAGTAAAAGAAACCCAGTCTCCTTTCCCTTCAGTCACAGAAGAGCCGCTTTAAAGGATTCGAAACCTCGCCGCAAATTAACCAGTGTTATTGATATGACATGCGGCACGTCACTTGTTCTGTTTTATTTACACTCCGCCAAGACTTGGCAAAATGGAGAAAAATGATGCTAACTAGTTAAAAATGCTAATTAACAAGGTGTAAAGTTGCAGGACATCCCATACTTTGAGTAGGTAACCGTAATAGACTCAAATTTAAACCAACCGGGGATCAATTTGATTGACTTTCAAGAAAATCATTCACATAAAACAAGAGCGTTCTGCTTCCAATGAAGAATTCAATTAAAAGGGTTACGCGTGTTACTCTGGTTAGATAGACGTGTTATTTATGCATGTTGCCCATATTCATCAGCATCCTTGACACAGTTCATACATTTATGGGATTTAATTAGGAATAATGAACTCTAAACCACAGTGATATCAGATCCCTACAGACCAAGCATGTGTGTTAAGACGACCCAGCCGAACTGAGTAAAACTAGTACAAGTATAAGAATAATTGTGAAGCCTGGATGTGCTATTGGTTTAACAATGTCTGAAAAAGCAACAAGAAGAACAAATAAAACTAAAATATGCAATCTTAGCAGCTTGACACGACTGTCGAATTCTACATTTGTGTTGATTAATGCATGAACACACCTGAAGATCTACCGGTAACTGATCAAACCGCTGGGATCAGACGGTCTCGCCCTCTCGGATCTGTGCTGCGGCCCTGAAGGGTCTCGGGTGACGGATTTACACAAAGAGCTCTGGTTGGGGTGAATTGTGTTTATCTGCATGACATTCAGAGAACAAAGACATGGGCGTCTGCATATCAGGAAGTTTGGAAGGAGAACAGAGGAGTGAAAAGGGCCAGAAAGAGGGACAGAAACAGAGAGTGTGGGGAGGACAGGGTCCATTTTTTGGAATCATGGTATAGCAAACTGCACCACCAGCTCTTCCTTGGCATCTACTTTGATTTGTGAGATGGCGCTGTAGGCGTACGCAGCGATCTTTGAGACCTGAGGAGGAAAGAGCACAGTAAATCACACAAAACACTGAAAAAAGTGCATTAATGTGCATTTAAAGAGATACTCCACCTCTGGAAAGATGAATGTGTGTTTAAAATCGGTCATTTATGTAGAAGAAATGTGAACTTATTTTTGAATTTGGAGCTTTCTAGACTCAGAAAAGCCAGAAAATTTATTTTTGGCTTATGTGGATGAAAGACAACAACTCCCAGAATGCACTTGCTTCGCTGCCCTAGGAGGCCACGCCTACCAACAACACTGCAGTGGTTAAACAACAAGTCTAGGCTACTCCGCGATGAGTCTGCCCGAAAATGTGTTTCGAGACCGCCCAAAATGTCCGGGATTCGGCTTTTGCGTTCTACAGTCGCCATTCATCATGTTTACTGTGGCGAGCGGGACGAGTGAGGGCCACGGGAGATTACCGGTCTCGTATCTCTCACGGAGGAGCGGGAATTTTCTTAGCAATGTTAAAACGCACATCAACCGATCATTTGTTTAGCGTTCCTGTAAACACTACATTCAGATTCACCAATCGGAATGAATTCAGTTAGATTGAAACAAAAGCGGCGCATGTAAACAATGAATGGCGACTGCAGAACGCAAAAGCTGAATCCCGGACATCGACGGTCGGACATGTTGGGAAAAAGAGGATGGTAACCCCTACTACTCAGCTTTCTCTACAGAACAAGAGCCTGCTAACTTAGCTTCCAAAAAAGATGGCCGACACTGTGTTCATTCTGTGAGTGAGATCGCCCTCTATGGGCGGGTTGAGGACATGCGGGACATCGCCTACTACTGACTGTAGTCTTTAGCCTCTGGACAAAAAATACATAAATCTCTCGTCTCAAGGGGGATATGAGCGTGGAAAGCATGGTAATTCGAAAATACTACAGGTTTCCTACTAATACAAAGCTTAATGCTAAATCCTGAAGCATCCCGTTAATGTTCTTTCTTCCATTCTTAATTTATATACACTACTGTGAATATAAATACAGTACTGTGACCCTGTATGGTCAGAGAGAGTTTTATTCAGCAAGGATGCATTACATTTATAAAAAGACATTTATAGTATTACAAAAGATTTCCATTTCATATAAGAGAATCCTGAATAAAAAATGTATCAACTATTCCACAAAAATATGAAGCAGCACAACTGTTCTAAACACTGATAATAATCAGAAATGTTTCTTGAGCAGCAAATCAAGCATATTAGACTGATTTATGAAGGATCATGTGACACTGAAGTGCCTTCTAAAGAATGTCTGTCAATGTTTGCATATAATATACTTGTAATATACTTGTTAAGGCTAACCTTAACGGTTTATGCAACAGGAGGTTAAGCATCTAAGCATCAGTTGTTTGTATGTCATCATGTGATAGGGTGATGTGATGACGTGAATCTGACCTGCTGTACATCTGCGTAGGGCACCAGGTCAGCGGCGAGCACCTGATGAGGTTGGCTGGTCAATGACGGGAGAGGAACCGGCTTCTTCTGAGACAGCGTTCTGCTCAACACCTCCAGCTTTGTGCTTTAACATTAACACACACCATTCAGCTCAATACACTTACATTTACATGTTTGATTCGACATGAGTAATTAATGACAGAATGTTCATTTTTGGCTGAAGTAACTCAAATTTGAAGCAATTTAAATTTGAACCTAAAATACTGATGTTGTTAAGAAAGTTGGTTACACTTTATTTCGATAGCAACTAACTCTCATTAGAGTATTCGTAGACTGTTGGGGTTTGAGTTAGTAGGATAAGTTGACGTGTACTTGCAAAGTTACTTCTAGTCAGTACTTAGTCACTGACAGTGTGTTGTGGCAGCCATAAAGATATTAAGCAGACAGTCTACTAATACTCTAATGCCTGCATGTAGTTGCAAACACACTTATAGTTAATAGAAGTGGACATTTTGAAATAAAGCTTTACCCAAAAAGATGTTCGACATCTAGCGTTGCAAGGTTATTTAGGTAACAAACAATCTTGAACACTGTTTGTACACGGTAATAGAAAACAATTAGAAACCATCTTGGGTATTTTATCCCTATAAAACCCTCAAAGAAAGAGAAACGTAACTACCGCTGATCAACTTTACATCAATGGCATTTGAGAAGAGCAAACACACCTGTACTGTCTGGCTTTGTCCATGTATTCATGTTGCTCCATGCCTTGAGAATCCACAGCCGACACGTCAATTATGTTCCTACCCAAGAGAAAAACAAAAGGTTTTCATCTACCAACAGCCCTCACTACAGAAAACTCACAGCAAAACATGCTTTTCTTGCTTGTTTTCTAGGGAAATAAATCAAAATGAAGAGAGTTTTTGCTTAAAACAAGCACATTTATCTGCTATTGGGGTAAGAAAAATAATATTTTCCCTAGAAAACGAGACATAATAGCCTTTTATTATTTTAGTAAATGTGTGTAGTGTGTGTCGTACAGGGCTGTGCGCTGCAGGATGACTGTGAGCAAGGCCTGCTCGTCTGTGCGGTTGGACGAGAGGCTGTCTGCGTTTCGCTCCGAGCCATTGGTGGGCTTTCGGTCAAGGTTTGGGTCAGGAATCAATGGCCTCACCTCGTCATTCTTCTGCACAAAAGAGTCAAGAGGTCAAAAGCATGATCATTTTCAAGAGGGCAACATGTCAGTGACCATATGTCTGCAGCTTTTGATTACATTTAACATTCCAATTGATGAATCTTACTCCAAAACCTAAATGCTGCAAGGTTTTCAAAATAAAGGGATGTTTAACGACATCAAATGGTTTGTAAAAATCAACAAAAAAAAAATTAAAAACAACATCACTATGATCAAGTGAAAACATGTCACCCGTCAGCAAGTTTTTACATTTAGAAGTCAAACAAAATTGACTTGACTTTAATCCCAGGATGCTTCAGGTTTGACTGAACTTGTCATACCTACTGTAAGTTACTCTGGATAACAATATGCTAAATGACTTCCTCCATCATATTCCCAGACTCACATCATGTACCCAAACTCGGACCAGCCCAGAAATTATTGATTTATACAAAGAATACATTTCCAGTTTCCATTGCTTTTTCCAACTGTTAGGGAATCATTTATAAAGACCAGAGGTGTAAAAAGTACCTGAAAACCACTTGAGTAAAAGCAAAAACGACTCATTACAAGTCAGCGATTTCAATACACCTTTAGAAAATGTATTTAAGTACCTGATATGTACTTAAATATTTAACCTGTAGTGAATGCAGGCTCAAAGATGCACTCGTCCTTAACACCTGAGAGACTTACCAGTGAAAAACAAGAAACTGTTGGTTTGTGAGGAGAGCAATCACGTTAATTTTCTAAAATCACAGTAAATCAAGGTCGACACAACACGTACGCTTAATTTCAGCTAAGATCAAGTGCTTAAAAACTATGTCTCTTCAATATGACGGATACATAAAACAATGTGTCAGATTAAATAGGCAAAGCCTACTTGCACTGGAGAAGCTGTTTTCGGCCTCAGCTCATATGTGGAAAAACCAGTGATTCAGAAACTACCAACTAATGCACGTGTAGTTGTGTAAAGTAGCTTTATTGACGAGTTTGGGTGAGTAAAGGCGAAATACACACGATCTCGTACCTTCAGTGGCCGGACATTGCTTCTTATAGCAGAAATAAACTTCAGCAGAAAAAGTTTGGTGCCATGCAAAATGTACCAAGTTAAACTGCATTACAAATGCAATTAAATAAAGAGTACATACACTTTTTTTAAAGATGTAGTCAAGTAGAGAGTAAAAGTTGCTAATATCTTTGATACTCAGTAAAACTATAAAGTAGCCAAAAAGATACTTGCGTACAGTAACTAATTACATTTTCTCAAATACTTTACACCTCTTATAAAGATCATTTTATAGAGATTCTATGAAGCATTTTAAGGCTTAAAAACAAGTAGAAAAAATACAGCGTGGTCGAAACGAACAAGTTATGTGTTTTAATCGTTTGATATAATAATATTACAAAGAATTTAGAGAAATTTATATTGAGAATATTATCTATTTGGCATTTGTATTAATCGGTTCAAAACCATGAATCACATATTTTCAATATAACTTTACTCTATGACATTTGCTCAATAATTAGATATATTTCCTGGCCTGGATTTGAAATCCAGCTGATATTAATATCACACTTTCCATGACATTGGGAACCCTGAATGCATAATTTCCTCGTACATGACCACATCACATGTCAGATCCACACACACTCTCAGTTTATAATATTTCCTATGTCTAATCATAATGGACTCAGCAGTGAAACCAATAACTCTGATTAGAAGAACAAATTAAATGAGGCATTAGAGTAAGTTTGATGTTAGTTTTGAAACACACACACACACACACACACACACAGTATTGGCCTGTTTGTGTAGCCAGAATTACAAACACACACCAGTAATACTAAATGTGTGCTGTATGTTGTTGCTGTAGCAATACAAACGGCACATTCAGCAGTGTTTTCCAGTTGTTATATGTGTGTTTTGATCAAAACTCCTCTACCTGCTCCGACGTTTCGCTATCGCTGCTGAAACAGCACCCCATGATACACGTCCAGCAGGTTCAGTCTCTCTTCTGTGGGAGTTTTTCGTCTCCTGCGAGGTTTTTATTATTTTGTTTGTTGGCTGTGAGGAGCTTCGTTGCAAACGCAGGGACCATCACATGACAGCGCTCCTAGTCGCGTCACGTGACTTCCGTTTTCACACACAACTACCCTGGCACGTCATTTCCGCCAGTCGCGTGACCGCGCAGAGCCGTTATGTTCGTTGTAGACTGACATAGACATATACACTAGACATCACCTGGGGGTTCTAAGCATGCGTCAAAACCGCCGCCATCTTGGAACAGGGGTCTTGTCATAGGAAGTAGCTAGGTAACGCTGCTATCTCTGCCTTTACTTCGAATTCATTGATGGTGGCGGACTTTTGTGCAGCGTATGAAGTTCACGGATGAAATCTGAACTAGGAAGAATGTTTTACAAAAAATTTTAAAAAAAATTAAAAAAAAAAATTCTTTCTGGAATCAATGATAAATAGATGTCTGACCGTTGGAACAAACCAAAAAACAAAAAAAATCGCATTCATGATGATTTGTGATGATTTTATTTGCGTTAGACCTGTGTCTACTACATTGACGCTGATGCATTAAAGTGGAGGAGCTCCCCTGTTTCAAGATGGCGGCTCTATTGACGCATTCGTTCCAATGAACTGCCGTATCCAAGGTGAGGTCTAGTGTATATATCTATGGTAGACTGATAAAAAATAAATTACCGTCGCGTGACCGCGCAGAGCCGTTATGTTCGTTGTTGACCGATAAAAAATCAATCAATCAATCAATACATAAGGCGTCAAAAGAGATTTCAGTGTTTTACTCTTATAAATTTCTACGCGATTCTTTCTAATTGGCTTAATTTCAGGTGATATCTTGTAAAATACGTTTTTAGGAAGAAAGTATTGACAAATAACGTTATTAATAGTATATGAATCATTATAATGAACATATTGGCTTATAATAAGAATAAACATATTGGCTTCGTAAAAGTTTAGCTCTCTATCTAATTTTCTTATATTAAAACATCAGTAGCAATGTTTCTACCAATTGTGAAAACTAAAAACGGTTGTGGGAAGATTATGGTAAAGTAACTTAGCAAAATGACCATATTTCAAAATAAATAATTAAATGCTACACGATATAAAGTCACATTTCACTCATTGTTTAACTTAGATTATTGAATTAATGTCTATGCAAATTGTATTGGTGTGAACATACTATAAAAATACAGGATCATCTCTTTATGTGATAATTACTTACTGATGTATTTTTTTTATCCCTCGGGTTAAATACATGACAGAAAATAAACACAATCTTAATTTTGTCATTAGATGGAGATGGTTTTGTGTTTGGCTACTCAAATGTTATTTCATGGATTGTAGCTTGTGTTAGCTTTTGTCTATAAAGTTCAATATAATATATTATTAATTATTATGATAGGTAAATATTATTATGTAGCAAAAGTTTATTTGCTTATTGTTTATTTGTGGGTATTTATTAGACAGATAATTCGTTCCTTTTTTTTATTTGGACTGTATCAAAATCTATGTATTTCCGTCTTATAGGGTTTGGGTAATAAGCCCGTAAAATATAATTTCAAATGACTTTATTTCAAATAAAAAATAAATAAATAAAGTCTCGGTTCTGAGGAGACCTGGGAGTGCAAAATATTTTCTTTTATCATTAATCTAAAAGGAATTGGGATGGCTTTGATAATCCTATTATAAATATTGACAATACACATGCAGTTGGAATTTCTCAAAAAAAAAAAAACTCTTTAAACAGTAACAAATATCAATTTTCAAGAAATAAGCAAACAAATCCCTTTGGATTTCCAATAGCAGCACATGCTGATGAAAGTCTGAGAGTTTCACTGGTAAAGAGGACCATTTAAAGTTACAACATTAATAGAAAAAAAAAACATTTTTTTGGAAACAATGTTGTGTCGTTGGCAAACAGACTTATAATTATTTGCCTGTCCAACACTGTTCAAGCTTCAAAACCACTATTTTTAATCAATATAGATCTGCAACCATTAAAGATAACAATGGTGAGCTATGCTGGATGAATCCCCCTTTTCATGGAGAATATAGTTTAGAATAGAACTGTGCGAACTGGCTCTATAACAGTGCGGAGTTGTGATTTACTGAATGCGGCCCCTTTAAGAAAAATGACATCACGCGCATGCGCAGAAGAAGAGGAGGGACGAGATTCACACAAGACGAGAAGAGCGCTAAAACTTTCACCAGTTAAAGCTAAAAGTGACGCTGTTAACGATCGTGAATGAAGTATAAATGTGGAATATTTTCTTCGGATGTCGTATATTTCCAGTCTGGAGGTCAGAAATGTTATATTTATCATGTAATAATTGACGTTTGTGTTGCCTAAATTTACATTGTTCGTAGTGTAAAGTGCAGAGAATATAGTCATTAATTTTGATCAGCCACTTATTCAGTCTGTAGAAATTGTGTATAATTTCTGTTATCTTAGTTATATTTTTGTTTCAATTTAAGAATTTATCCTGTGACTTGTTTGTTTTATCCATATTATATCTGGAGTCACATGAAAATGAACAACCTTCCCTGATAGCACTATTTGATGTAATGTATGTATGTAATACATGTATTTGATGTAAAGTCTGTTTGATGTAATGTTTATCTGGAAGACGTATTCTTAAGAGTGTTTGCTCATCTGCAATAGGACGTTTCCTGTCAGATGTCAAATAGACGTTCGGTTTCTCACACAAGCCGCTCGTTTCGTGTCTTAGGCCATTTACGAGTCTCTGTGCATGCTCTTTGAGGTGGTGACCATAGACCTGCATTATGTGACTGACAGACAAGAACGGTTTGACCTAAAAATTCCTAAATTGATAATACTGTGGAAACAAAGACTAGTTTCCACAGTATTATCAATTTAGGAATTTTTACACCTACATATTTTCTGTCATGTGCCCTTGAGGTAAGCTAAAACATCTCAAAAATTAAAGGGGGGGGGGGTTGATTGCGATTTCACTTTTTTCATTTTAAATAGTGTGTATAATGTTGCTGTTGGTCCATGAACAGTATCTGCACAGTTGCAGCGCTGAAAGTTCAATGTAAGCAGAGATATCGTCTTTTAAAAATCAGAAAGTTTAATGCCTACAAAAACGACTCGATTGGCTCTACAGCTGTGTTTTAGACGTCACTAACCCATACATTTAAATCAACCCTCCCTCCGGAATATGCAAAAAAGGGCATGGCCATATTTCTGCGGCTCGTCGAGTGTGTTATGTTCATCCAGCTGTCAGGTCTCCTGTGTTCGGGTTCCCACGGACGTACATGTACTTCGTCAACCATGGATACAATTTATGTTTGATTATGTTCCTGAAAATGACGATCGTAATTTAACTCTCTGTGCTGCGCATTTTACGGAAGACAGCTTCCAGAATCTCCACAAATTCAACACCGGATTCAACAAGAAGCTGTTGCTAAAACATGAAGCAGATCCAACTTTAGGCAGCAGTTGTTGAGCCACAACCTGTAAGTAGGCTAAGACTTCATCATTTTAAATGTATTTGCATGTATAATTTCAGACGTTATCAAATGCCAGAGCTGGCTTTATAGACACTTACTTATGCTATTTCTTCGTGTCTACGACAAACGCGTACAAACACTTTGGACCTGAATTTATACATGTACTAATTTTGTATTTTTCATATATATATATACTTTATGACGTTATTTTTCGATTTGATCAAGAACGTAAACCAGTGACAACGCTGTTTGTGTACATAGTAGTTAGTCAGTTCAATGCTATTTTGTGTAAGGCAAACGTGTATAAAGTGTAAAAAAATATAAGCAAATTACCATAATTTACATTTGACAGGAACACACATAGGCGTGAATTTTGTGGACAACGTGAGCTACAGTTTAGCCAATCACAACACACCGGCCTAAACTAACCAATCTGAGCCCACTGCGTGTTTTTGAGGGAGTGTTTTCGTACAATCAGGAAGTCAACCGCTCGTTCATGGGACAGAGGAGAGCGCGGCTTACAATAAAGGTGAAATTTATGAAAAATAAGACTTTAAAAAAAAGAAAACCACGAATACGTGTTATATTGCACCCCATAAACACAATCATGCAAAGAAAAAAAGCAGTCAACCCCCCCTTTAATTTAAAAGTGAACTATCCCTTTAACCGTTTTTTAATATTGTTTTATTTGGAAAGAAAGTTTTAAATTCTATATTGTTATTTTACAGTTTATAATGTTACCAGACATTGCCATTGATTCAAAACAACTTTGTGACCTAAACATGTTTGCTCTAATATCAGAACTTTTTAAAAATTATTTCACATTTTTTAGAACAATTGTTACTTACAAAAACGAGCAACTTTTTACTGTTTTTTACACTACTAATATGTAAATCAAAATGCTCTATATTTGAGCTAAATATATTTAAAGGACCACATGTGTTTTGCTGTTAAAGTATACCAGTATAAATTCAGTAACTTATCTCTGATTTTTCCAGATCTGGTCCTGTGGGCGTCAGTATCACACAGTGATCACAGTTCACACCTGCAGTGAAGCCCCTCCCACAACAATTCACCAATAAATACTGGGAATATTCCCATCATCCTACAAGAGAAGGACAAACTTCAGGAGTAGCAGCTGAAATCTGTGTGACTGTTAAAGATGGACTTTATTAAAGAGGAGATTAAAGAGGAGATGGAGTTTATTAAAGAGGAGATTGAAGACATGACTGATCCAGAACCATCCAGAATAAAACACGAAGATACTGAGGAACAAATAGGTTGGTGTCCATTCTTGATTCTTCATTGTGGACTGCTTTCGTAGCTCTGAAATAATAATTAGTATATGGATGACAAATGATTAGAGAATTGCATTTAAATAATCGTAACCCCGTTTTAATCGTATTATACAGACTCAGGAGATGACTTGAGACTTATTTTACATCTTGTAAAAAGTGCCATTATACCACTCCTTTAACAAATACAACTTTTGATTTTAATAATGTATTAGTAAATGTTGAAATTACAACAACAGAAGTATTATTCATTGTTGAATAAGGAAGCCTTATTGTGAAGTGTCACTGATACACAGACAGATGTCTTGTTTTTTGCTGTGTGTTTTTAATTTTCACATTTAACCTCATTGAGCTGATTTTAATTGATTAATACATTTTATTTTAGTCCAGATGGAAGTGAAGGAGCAAAGACAGAAACTAAATGACGTGAAGAAACACTCTGACTTCAAAACTCTCGGAACAAATGTCAAAAAGCTGCACTCCTGCTCTCAGTGTGGAAAGAGTTTCACAAATAAAGGAAACCTTAACAAACACTTTGGAATTCACACTGGAGAGAAACCGTATACATGCACTCAGTGTGAGAAGATTTTCAGAGATGCATCAGGTTTAAAATATCATCTGCACGTTCACTCTGGAGAAAAACCATTCAAGTGTGATCAGTGCGGTAAAGGTTTTAATTCATCATCAAATCTAATACAACACCTGAAAGTTCATTCAGATGAGAAGCCATTCTTGTGTTCTTTCTGTGGAAAGAGTTTTTCACGGATGGACAGTTTTAAACTTCACCAGAAAATACACACCGGTGTGAGAGATTATGTGTGTTGTGACTGTGGGAAGAGCTTTACTGCATCCTGTGAACTGAAACGGCACCAAAGAATTCACACTGGAGAAAAACCGTATCCATGCACTCAGTGTGGAAAGAGTTTTTCTCAAGCATCAGGTCTCAGTGTTCATCTGCTCCGTCACTCTGGAAAAAAAACTTTTAGCTGCGTTCAGTGTGGTAAATATTTTGTTTTGTCATCAGATCTAAAAGACCACCTGAAAGTTCATTCAGATGAGAAGCCTTATGTGTGTTCTGTCTGTGGAAAGAGTTTTCCACGGATGAAGAGTTTTAAACAACACCAGAAAACACATGCTGAAGTGAAAGATCATGTGTGTTGTGAATGTGGGAAGAGATTTACTAGAGCTGATTGTCTGAAACGTCACCAACAAACTCATACTGGAGAAAAACCTTACAAGTGCTCATACTGTGACAAGAGTTTTGCTCGGTTGGGACGTCTAAAATCACATGAGCGAATTCATACTGGAGAGAAGCCGTATATCTGTACTGTGTGTAAGAAGAGTTTCAAAGATGCAACAGGTTTAAAAAAGCATATGTTTATTCACACTGGGAAAAAAACGATTTAACTGTGATCAGTGAGGTTATAATTTGTCATCAAGTCTAAAACAACACCTTGTAGGAAACTCATGAGCGGAGACCAGGAATCTTGGTTGTAACTTTATCAGGATTCTTTTTTGAGAACAGGAGCTGTCAGTAGATGCAGTCATCAAGTCTTATGCAGTGTTGTAGTTTATATACGTTTAGAGGGCAGAAGATCTGGGTGACGACCTTAAACATGCTTAGGAACCCACCATAGACTCTAGAGTGTTACCAATCCTTATCCAATCAGCAATCAGGGGCTCCGAGATCCATTAAAGACAAATGGTGAGAGTCTCAGTAATTGACTCATTTAACTTACGATAGAGAGAACAGGACTGGCAGGAATCCCTTGCTGGAAACTTTGCAGCTGATATCATCATCAGATCCTCAAATGCTAAATTCAATGTACTCTACCTTAGTTATTCATGTTATGTTATGTAAGGTCATAAGATCAGCAGATCTTAAACAGATTCTTAAATTTGTAATTTTACAACCTGAAAGTTTGTTCAGATGAGAAGCCTTATGTGTGTTCTCTTTGTGGAAAGAGTTTTTCAAGGCTAAAGAGTTTTAAACTGCACCAGAAAACACATAATCAAGTGAGAGATCATTTGTGTTGTGACTGTGGGAAGAGCTTTAGTACATCTAGGCTAATTGACAGGAACAGCTTCAGAGATTTCGTACTGGAGAAAGACCTTACAAGTGCTCATATTGCTCATAGTTTCTACATTGTAATCATTAACAACTTGTAGTAATTACTTTAGTGTGTAAATGTATTGATTCTGCGAAAGAATCAGAGTTGCTGCCTTAATCCACTGTTAGCTAACTGCGTAATTTATATATGTACATTTCTGAAATGCATAACTTGGACACAGTCACCTCTGATAACAAGATCACTCCAGATTATAATCTAAACAAATGCATTGTCTGTAAAGCTGCTTTGAAATGGTATGTATTGTGAAATGCGCTATGCAAATAAATGTTAATTTAATTGACTTGTGACAAGAGTTTTACTAAGTCTGGAGCGCTGAAATCACATGAGCTACTTCAAACTGGAGAGAAGCTGTACTGCTGTACTCGGTGTGAGAAGAATTTTACACGTTTATTAAGCCTTCTCAATCATGCAAAAAAATATTGCAAGTGAGCAAAATTAGTTTTTTTAATGTCGTATAGTAAATACTGTGAGATAAAATATGGAACTGATCCCTTCGCTCCACCTTGGCCCGCCGACCTGGCTACTCGCACCCTCGGTTCTTCCAGAGACACCATAGGCCCTCGTCTCTCCGGCTTTACCAGAGACCTTCTTCCATCCAGCTCGACCATAAACCCTCATCCCTCTGACTCAACCAGAGACTTTCATCCCTCCAACTCCACCAGAGACCCTCGTCCATCCGGCTTTACCAGAGACCTTTGTCCCTCCGGCTCGACCATAGACCCTCGTCCCTCCGGCTCGACCATAGACCCTCGTCCCTCCGACTCGACCATAGACCCTCATCCCTCCGACTCAAGCAGAGACTTTCAACCCTTTCAAGTCCACTTTCAAGTCCACCATAGACCCTCATCTCTCTGGCTTTACCAGAGACCTTCATCCCTCCGACTCGACCATAGACCCCTGTCCCTCCGACTCGACCATAGACCCTCATCCCTCCAACTCAAGCACTTTCATCCCTCCAACTCCAGCACTTTCATCCCTCCAACTCCACCATAGACCCTCATCTCTTTGGCTTTACCAGAGACCTTCGTCCCTCTGACTCGACCATAGACCCTCGTCCCTCCGACTCGACCATAGACCCTCATCCCTCTGACTCAACCAGAGACTTTCATCCCTTCAACTCCACCAGAGACCCTCATCTCTCTGGCTTTACCAGAGACCTTCGTCCCTCCGACTCGACCATAGACCCTCGTCCCTCCGACTCGACCATAGACCCTCATCCCTCTGACTCAACCAGAGACTTTCATCCCTTCAACTCCACCAGAGACCCTCATCTCTCTGGCTTTACCAGAGACCTTCGTCCCTCTGACTCGACCATAGACCCTCGTCCCTCCGACTCGACCATAGACCCTCATCCCTCTGACTCAACCAGAGACTTTCATCCCTTCAACTCCACCAGAGACCCTCATCTCTCTGGCTTTACCAGAGACCTTCGTCCCTCCGACTCGACCATAGACCCTCATCCCTCTGACTCAAGCAGAGACTTTCATCCCTCCGACTCGACCATAGACCCTCATCCCTCTGACTCAACCAGAGACTTTCATCCCTCCAACTCCACCAGAGACCCTCATCTCTCTGGCTTTACCATAGACCCTCGTCCCTCCGACTCGACCATAGACCCTCATCCCTCCGACTCAAGCACTTTCATCCCTCCAACTCCACCATAGACCCTCATCTCTCTGGCTTTACCAGAGACCTTCGTCCCTCCGACTCGACCATAGACCCTCGTCCCTCCGACTCGACCATAGACCCTCGTCCCTCCGACTCGACCATAGACCCTCGTCCCTCCGACTCGACCATTGACCCTCGTCCCTCCGACTCGACCAGAGACTTTCATCCCTCCAACTCCACCATAGACCCTCATCTCTCTGGCTTTACCAGAGACCTTCGTCCCTCCGACTCGACCATAGACCCTCATCCCTCTGACTCAACCAGAGACTTTCATCCCTCCAACTCCACCAGAGACCCTCATCTCTCTGGCTTTACCAGAGACCTTCGTCCCTCTGACTCGACCATAGACCCTCGTCCCTCCGACTCGACCATAGACCCTCATCCCTCTGACTCAACCAGAGACTTTCATCCCTCCAACTCCACCATAGACCCTCATCTCTCTGGCTTTACCAGAGATCTTCGTCCCTCCGACTCGACCATAGACCCTCGTCCCTTTGACTCGACCATAGACCCTCATCCCTCCGGCTCAACTAGAGACTTTCATCCCTCCAATGCCACCAGAGACCCTCATCCCTCCGGCTCCACCGAGGACTCTGCCTGCGCCATGAACTTATAAGTTATACTCCGGCTTCACCAGAGACCCTCATCCCTCTGGCTCCTCAAGAGACCCTGCCTGTACCGCGGACTTACAATGAGCGGCAGTGTTTCATATAGGTTGTCTACAAACCGGAAGGTTGGTGGTTCAATCCCCGGTTCCACCTGACCAAGTGTTGAGGTGTCCGTAAGCTGGACAACTAACCCCAGCTGCTCCCGACAAGCTGGATGGTGCCTTGCATGGCTGACACCATCGTCGGTGTATGAATGAGTGAGTGAATGTGAGGCAATATGTGAAGTGCTTTGGGTCTGTGAAAGCGCTATATAAATTCAGTCCATTTACAAATTATACTCCGGCTCGCCCAGAGACACTTGTTCCTCCAGCTTCACGAAATACCCTCGTCCCTCTGGCTCCACAAGAGACCCTGCCTGCACCGCGGACTTACAAGTTATACTCCGGCTCCTCAGTCCTCTGGCCATCAGGTTCCACCTTGGATGTTAGTCGCTGTGGCTTCATGTTGGGCGCCAGTTCCAGTGGTGTTGCTCAAGCCCAACGGCTCTCCGTCTGTGCCCTGGAATCCCCTGATATAGGTTCCTACTCTGTCAGTCGTTCTCCGGAAGTCAAATCAAAGTCAAGTCAAAGCGTTTATTGTCATATGCACAGAGAGAAAAACAAGTTTTTCCTATACAATGAAATTCTTTCTTTGATGTCCACAGTGAATGCCAAGACTAGTACAAAGTACTTAAAAAAAGAAAACGCGCACCGCACACACACACACACACAAACAAAATTAAAAATGTTGTAGAATAAGAATTTGAACATATTGAAAATTTTAAATATTGTACATATATGTAAGCAAATGTGCAAAAATGACTGTGCAATACAATAATACATTAAAGTGCAATTGAGTGCAGCTCCATGATAATAGGAACATTAACAGATATGCAATCTATGCAACAATTAGTCTAAATATTCTATAAGATGTGATTCTTATATAATACCCAAAGTCCAAATTTGGGGCAGGGTGCAGCCCTATATGCATCACGTATGTTATTGTAAACATTGTCTAGTGGGTTTTTATTTTAATTTCGTTTTTGACCAGGAACATCAAAAGTCTGGCCATGTGTCATTTTTTACAAAAAAAACATGTGGGATACCCACATTCCTGACAGAAAACATATGTTCATTTGATTTAAATGTAGTTAAACTAATCCAGTATAAATTTAGTATCTTATCTTTTAATTTTTCCAGATCTGGTCCTGTGGGCGTCAGTATCACACAGTGATCACAGTTCACACCTGCAGTGAAGCCCCTCCCACAACAATTCACCAATAAATACTGGGAATATTCCTATCATCCTACAAGAGAAGGACAAACTCCAGGAGTAGCAGCTGAAATCTGTGTGACTGTTAAAGATGGAGTTTATTAAAGAGGAGATTGAAGACATGACTGATCCAGAACCATCCAGAATAAAACATGAAGATACTGAGGAACAAATAGGTTGGTGTCCATTTTTGATTCTTCATTGTTGACTGCTTTCAAATCTCTGAAATATGGATTACAAATGATAGAGAAATGAATACTAATGATCAGAAGCCACTTTTAATCGCATTCACAAGTGAATGACAGAACCCAACTTTGCACATTAAAGATATTTTTATACAGATAGATGTCTTGTTTTCTATTTTTTTTTTTTTTTTGCAAAGTGTTTTTAATTCTCGCATTTAACCTCATTGATCTGATTTTTACGTTTATTTTAGACCAGCTGGAAGTGAGGGAGCAAAGACAGAAACTAAATGAAGTCAAGAAACACTGTGACTTCAAAACTCAAGGAACAAAAGCCAAAAAGCTGCACTCCTGCTCTCAATGTGGAAAGAGTCTCCAAAAGAAAATAAACCTTAAGATACACATGAGAATTCACACTGGAGAGAAACCATATCCATGCACTCAGTGTGGAAAGACTTTTTCTCAAGCATCAAATCTCAGTAAACATCTGCACATTCACTCTGGAGAAAAACCATTCAAGTGTGATCAGTGTGGGAAAGGTTTTAATTCATCATCAAATCTAATACAACACCTGAAAGTTCATTCAGATGAGAAGCCATTCTTGTGTTCTTTCTGTGGAAAGAGTTTTTCACGGATGGACAGTTTTAAACTTCACCAGAAAATACACACCGGTGTGAGAGATTATGTGTGTTGTGACTGTGGGAAGAGCTTTACTGCATCCTGTGAACTGAAACGGCACCAAAGAATTCACACTGGAGAAAAACCGTATCCATGCACTCAGTGTGGAAAGAGTTTTTCTCGTGCATCAGGTCTCAGTGTTCATCTGCTCCGTCACTCTGGAAAAAAAACTTTTAGCTGCGTTCAGTGTGGTAAATATTTTGTTTTGTCATCAGATTTAAAAGACCACCTGAAAGTTCATTCAGATGAGAAGCCTTATGTGTGTTCTGTCTGTGGAAAGAGTTTTCCACGGATGAAGAGTTTTAAACAACACCAGAAAACACATGATGAAGTGAAAGATCATGTGTGTTGTGAATGTGGGAAGAGATTTACTAGAGCTGATTGTCTGAAACGTCACCAACAAACTCATACTGGAGAAAAACCTTACAAGTGCTCATACTGTGACAAGAGTTTTGCTCGGTTGGGACGTCTAAAATCACATGAGCGAATTCATACTGGAGAGAAGCCGTATATCTGTACTCTGTGTGAGAAGAGTTTCAAAGATGCAACAGGTTTAAAAAGGCATACGTTTATTCACACTGGGGAAAAAACTATTTAACTGTGATCAGTGAGGTTATAATTTGTCATCAAGTCTAAAACAATACCTTGTAGGAAACTCATGAGCGGAGACCAGGAGACTTGGTTGTAACTTGGTTGAGCTGTCAGTAGATGCAGTCATCAAGTCTTATGCAGTGTTGTAGTTTATATACGTTTAGAGGGCAGAAGATCTGGGTGACGACCTTAAACATGCTTAGGAACCCACCATAGACTCTAGAGTGTTACCAATCCTAATCTAATCAGCATAAGTATTCAAAGACTGGGCTTTGAACTCGGCTTGGCTCGTCACACCCTCGGCTCCACCAGAGACCTTCGTCCCTCCGGCTCCACCAGGCACCCTCTGGCTCCAGCAGAGACCCTGCCTGCGTTTGCAGACTTACAAGTTATGCTCCAGCTCCACCAAAGACCCTGCCTGCGGTGCGGACTTACAAGTTATACTCTGGCTCCACCAGAGACCCTCGTCCCTCTGGCTCCACCATGACTTTCGTCCTTCCGGCTCCACAAGAGATCCCGCCTGCGCTACGGACTTACAAATTATACTCCGGCTCCACATCAGTCCTCTGGCTCTCAGGTTACTCATCGGATGCTCGTCGCCATGGCTTCAGCTTGGGCGCCAGTTCCAGTGGTTTTGCTCAAGTTCATTGGTTCTCCTTCCCTGCCCTGGGATCCCCTAATATTGGCTCCCACTCCGCCGGTTCCCAAATTCCCATTGTTTCCATGTGATAGAGGTTTAAATAAAATGTAATAGCCTCAGGGCGAACGAAAAACAGTTTGCGTCATGTATTTTAGAAATGTCAAGGTTCGCATCTTCTCTATTAATTCAAGAGCATTTGATGTTTTGTATCTATTATCTTTGAACTGATTATGAAATTGGCATGATACATTTACCTGACATAATAAATTGTAAACATCTGATTTTATTCTAATTGAGTCTGACATTATTTTCAGTAAAGAGTTAATAATCAAACATTCAGATGAGAAGCCTTATGTGTGTTCTCTCTGTGGAAAGAGTTTTCCACGGCTGAAGAGTTTTAAACTGCACCACAAAACACATGATGAAGTGAGAGACCATGTGTGTTGTGACTGTGGGAAGAGCTTTACTAGAGCTGACCATCTGAAACTGCACCAAAGGACTCATAATGGAGAAAAACCTTACAAGTGCTTACACAGTATACTGTGACAAGTGTTTCACTCAGTCTGGAAACCTGAAAAAGCACAAGCGAGTTCACACTGGAGAGAAGCCGGACAACTGCACTCAGTGTGAAAAAAGTTTCAGAAATTCAACAGGTTTAAAAATCCATCTCTGTTTTTACTCTGGAGAAAAAAAACATGTAACTGATCAATGTGGTAAAGACTTTAATTCATCATCACAGCTAAAATTAAATCTGAAAATTAATTCAGATGAGAAGGCAATTTCTTCCTTGTAGGTCTGAGACGAGAGTTCAAGAGATTTCCACGACGCATGGTGAGAACTGCAATGTCCTTCAACTACTTCAGTTCTCGCGCATCCGACATGGAAATTATGCATTGAGGTCCAAAGATGCGGTGAATTTATGTAAGTGTGAATCTATTGTTCAATCCATATATTATATATTTTATTAGTGTGCATTATTAATTATTGTAAAACTTGATTTGGTCCAGTGCGTAGATGTAATTTACTGAATGCGGCCCCTTTATGAAATATGACACCGCGCGCACTGAGCATGCGCGGAAGAGAGACGCGCGAGAGTATTTAGAGCTTTGTTTTCTTTCTTCTCTCTCTCTTTCTGTTGTTTCCTTTGACGCTGCTATGGATATTACAGTCGAACTTTCACCAGTTGAGGCTGAAAGTGACGCTGTTTAACGATCATGAATGAAGAGCAAATGTGAGATATATGCCGCATATTTCCAGTCTGCAGGTGAGAGTTGTTCTATTTATCATGAATTTTGTGTTGCGCAAATGTCCAGTTCGTAGCATAATAACATACAGATAATTAAATCAGAACGTTAGTTTGGATTTGCATACATTTATGTGTATAACATTAGGAATATTTTGTAGGATTTATATTATCTTTGTAAGATTCCTGTTTAATTTATATAAGATAATTTATTTAACGTTACCATGTGACTCGTTTCATTCTTATAAAATCTGGAGTCACATAACAATGATTGAATAATCATTATATAGAGCCGTTTTAAATGCTACATAACCGCATCAACATTATATATATTTCTTAAATCAAGCACATATGGCCATTTCATTTCAGAAGTGTAATTATTAAAGCATAAACTCAGTAACCTTGAATTTGGCAGATCTGCCGTCCCTCACAATAGTTCACCAATTAAGAAAGCTTAAGTTGCCTAGTTCAACCAAAAATTGCAATATATGATAAATTAAATAATGAGGAATATGTGATAAATTATTCTGAAAAACAACAACACTTAAATTATCATAGTATTGTAAAGTACTTGTCATCCACATTTTGGTGGTCAAGTGTTAGATTATTTTCTTTTGTGTCATCATTCTCAGTCCCTCATCAATGGTTGTTTTCTGTTGTCTTATGTTACATTTCTGATTAGTTTAGATATTAATTGAATAATAGAACCTGTGCCCTGTTTCATCCCAATTATATCCTGAGTTACGTGAAAATTATCAACCTGCAGTTGTTTAATATGCTACTAAAATGTAACAATCACAATGCTCTATATTTGAACTAAATCAAAGGCACCATATGTGTTTACTGTTAAAGTATTCCAGTATAAATTCAGTAACTTATCTCTGATTTTTCCAGATCTGGTCCTGTGGGCGTCAGTATCACACAGTGATCACAGTTCACACCTGCAGTGAAGCCCCTCCCACAACAATTCACCAATAAATACTGGGAATATTCCCATCATCCTACAAGAGAAGGACAAAATCCAGGAGTAGCAGCTGAAATCTGTGTGACTGTTAAAGATGGAGTTTATTAAAGAGGAGATGGAGTTTATTAAAGTGAAAATTGAAGACATGACTGATCCAGAACCATCCAGAATAAAACAAGAAGATACTGAGGAACAAATAGGTTGGTGTCCATTCTTGATTCTTCATTGTTGACTGCTTTCGTTGCTCTGAAATATGGATTACAAATGACAGAGAAATGCATGTAAATGATCATAAGCCAGTTTTTGTTTTAACAAGAGAATGACAAAACGGACCTTTCAAAGATACTTTATACAGACAGGTGTCTTGTTTTCTAATTGCTACTTACTGTATTCCACAAGTCCTATGTTCAAGGGTTTCAGAAGAAGAAAAAAAAAGCTTCTTGCACAAGGGAGTGACAGTCCATTATGCATACGCGCATTGCACGTCACGGAGGCGCGGGCACGAACACTTGCATTTTCCTATCAACAGATGAAACATCACCATCTACTCCATAATTTCTGGTCATACAGAAAATAATAATACATTATTTACAACTACTTTTATTTGTTTGTAATCTCACAATCACGAATAATACCGGTGTCCTCTAATTATGTAATGTGTATGAAACGTGCATTTCTCTCTGCCGCATCCTTAAAGGGATACTCCACTTTTTTTGGAAATAGGCTAATTTTACAACTCCCTCAGAGTTAAACTGTTGGGTTTTACCGTTTTCGAATCCATTCAGCTGATTTTCTGATATTTAGAAGAATATCAGTAACCAGACAGTTTCTGGTCTCATTGACTTCCATAGTATATTTTTTTTCCTACTATGGAGGTCAGTGAGAACAGAAACGGTCTGGTTACTGATATTCTTCTAAATATCAGAAAATCGGCTGAATGGATTCGAAAACGGTAAAACCCAACAGTTTAACTCTGAGGGAGTTGTAAAATTAGCCTATTTCCAAAAAAAGTGGAGTATCCCTTTAACAAAGGAGATGGAGATTTGTTTGCAGACATATTCAGGCTATTATAGTCTATAACTCGCCTATAAATCACCTCTATAGGCTGTGGTTATATGGCTCTTCTCATTCTGCACTCATTTAATCATTCAATTTCATTTCCAGGTTCTAATTTGTAGAACCTGGAAATGAAAAAAATATTTTTTTAATTTTCTAATTTTTAATAATTATTAAAAAATGTTAAGTTTAGCATAATTATTAGTTATTTGTTATCATTTACAATTTAATATAAATGTTAATTTGCTGATAATGATAAAGAAAACTGCTTTATAATTATTTAAAAGAAATATGTTTGGCTTAATAGTTAATTGTTAATATTAATTTATTTAATCTAATTGTTAATTTGTCAATAAAGAATACTGCTTGATAATAGTGAATCATTTACGTTGTCATTTTCAAGCTACATGTTCTTGATCGCGTCTACAGTGTGTGACGTGACTGCGGGTGATTATTATTTTTTTTTTATTTGGTCGGTTAACCGCGAGATTTCTTGCTGCTTCACTGCGGTGAAAAAATCCCATACCGTCACAGCCCTTGCTAAGTGTGTTTAATTCTCACATTTAACATCATTGAACTGATTCTAACTGATTCATATGTTTATTTTAGACCAGATGGAAGTGAAGGAGCAAAGACAGACGCTAAATGAAGTGAAGAAACACTGCGACTTCAAAACTCAAGAAACAAAAGCCAAAAAGCTGCACTCCTGCTCTCAATGTGGAAAGAGTTTCCAAAAGAAAATAAACCTTAACAGACATTTGAAAATTCACACTGGAGAGAAACCGTATCCATGCACTCAGTGTGAGAAGAGTTTTACTCGTGCTTCAGCTCTCAAGTATCATCTGCTCTATCACTCTGGAGAAAAACCATTCAACTGTGATCAGTGTGATAAAGATTTTATTTCATCATCACAACTAAAACAACACCTGAAAGATCATTCAGATGAGAAGCCTTATGTGTGTTCTCTCTGTGGAAAGAGTTTTTCACGGCTGGACAGTTTTAAACGTCACCAGAAAACACATGATGAAGTGAAAGATCATGTGTGTTGTGACTGTGGAAAGAGCTTTACAAGATCTAGTCATCTGAAACAGCACCAAAGAATTCATACTGGAGAAAAACCTTACAAGTGCTCATATTGTGACAAGAGTTTCACTCAGGCTGGAAACCTGAAACTACATGAGCAAAGTCACTCTGGAGAGAAGCTGTACCACTGTACTGACTGTGGAAAAGGTTTTACTTCAACATCATGTCTCAAAATGCACCTAACTTGTCATACAGGTGTCAAACCTCACTTGTGTTCTCTCTGTGGAAAGAGTTTCAGTCAAAAAGGAAACCTTAACGCACACATGAGAATTCACACTGGAGAGAAACCGTATCCATGCACTCAGTGTGAGAAGAGCTTTGCTTTACTATCAGCTCTCAGTTATCATCTGCACGTTCACTCTGGAGAAAAACCATTCAAGTGTGATCATTGTGGGAAAGGATTTATTTCATTATCAAATCTAAATTCACACCTGATAGTTCATTCAGATGAGAAGCCTTATGTGTGTTCTCTCTGTGGAAAGAGTTTTCCACGGCTGAACAGTTTTAAACAGCACCAGAAAACACACGATTAAGTGAGATATCATGTGTGTTGTGACTGTGGGAAGAGATTTATTACATCTAATCATCTGAAACGGCACCAAAGAATTCAAATTGGAAAAAAAAACCTTACAAGTGCTCATACTGTGACAAGAGTTTCGTTCAGTCTAGATCTCTGATTCACCTTGGACACGAATAGCGCGTCTTTGTTAAAAGAAAAACCACTGTACTCAGTGTGAGAAAAGTTTCAGAAATTCCACAGGTTTAAAAATCCATCTCTGCTTTTACTCTGGAGAAAAAAAAACATTTAAATGATCAGTGTGGTAAAGACTTTAAAGGTGCCATATGGGATAATTGAGGTAAAAATATCCAACAAATGAGCTACACACATCAAAAAAATGAGAAGAAATAAGTGCAATGATGTCATTAAAAAAGTTATACAAGTTATAGTGCTGCCGAGATGTAACCTAAATTAGCATGCTAAATTACTAGCCCCGGCCCGGCAGGTGTCGTAATACCAGTTTCGGCCATGGGAGGCGGTATGCGGGCAATGTTACCACCAGGCAAACTGATGTACACGAGTAAGTTGGCGGCTTGTGTGTACTTGAACCTGATGTCAGTCGTGTGGAAAATACAGACCCACATCATCACACACCTTCCACCACACCTAGAGATTGGCATGGGGTACTTTCCATAAGATCATCTTTCAATGCAAATCAAACCAGCTATTAGGCTAACTGAAGTAAAACCATGCCAATCTCTAGGTGTGGTGGAAGGTGTGTGATGATGTGGGGATATTTTAATTCCAAAGGCCAAGGGAACTTTATCAGGATGCATATTATCCTGGATCCATGAAATAACTGGCTTATAAAAATAAAAATCTGCCTGACTCTATGGGAATTTAACATAGGGGTGTCCTGACTTATGCACCCTGTATTTTAAGGAAAAACATTTATTTATTTGTGATACATTATTCATTCACAAAGAAAATTTGTGTCCTTAAAGGTTGGAGTTTTCCTCATTTTTCTAATTAAGGCATTAAGATCAATCCAAAAGATAATTTTTTTATTCCTCTTTTTAGGCAACTTTAGCATGGGGGTCCAAACTTATTCACATCACTGTATGTACACATTTATGGCCTAAGAAATGAAACGAGCGGTTTGTGTGAGAAAACGAACAGTATTTATATCGTTTTTACCTCGTGTAACCACAACAACCATGTCAAACTGATCTGACGGCACGGGCGCTTCGTTCTGCGCATGCGGCGGAAGTGAACGCTTGCACGTCTACGTCACTCGTTGTTTATACAGAGATTTCAGAAGTTTTACCTTTTACTAAACATATTTAGATATATCGAAATCGTCTTCCATATTGCAATTTCCTGTATATCTAAATATGTTTAGTGAAAGGTAAAACTTCTGACATCTCTGTATTAACAATGAGTGACGTAGGCGCGCAAACGATCACTTCTGGCGCATGCGCAGAACGAAGCGCCCGTGAACTGAAGGAGATCGCAGTTCTCCGTAGTGGAAATCTCTTGAACTCTCGTCTCAGGCCTACAAGGAAGAAAAGGAATAATCAAATAAAGTCATTATTTTTATTTTTTATTTTTTTGGACAAACAGTATTCTCGTTAGTTATTTTGGGTGAACTAACCCTTTAACGTAACGTCCATCAATTTACTGGGGCGTTAGGACCCACACAGACCACAGGGTGAGCGCCCCCTTCTGGCCTCACTGACACCTCTTCCAGCATCAACCTGGTTTTCCAGATACTAGCCAGGCTACAGGGTGATATGGCTGCTGGCATGATAGGAACGATAATCTCAGGTACTGTTAATGTGCTTTATTTTATGTTAAAAATGTGTAATATGACTTTGAATATAATTTAGTGCTCCCGGCTTTGTAGCTGTAAAAGCAACAATGGATAATTCACCTCAGTTTTTGAAATTAAAATGTAAACAAACAAGTGTATAATTTGAGATAATTTGTAACTCAGTTGCATGTATTTGAATAATGTTTAAATGGTGTAATATTTGTGAATTTGATTATGTAGCCTTATCCATTTTCTTGCGATTGCCAAGATTACTCTCAGGTGCTGTGCACTTTCCGTGAGACTCCGCCCACACGCTGTTCTGATTGGCTCTGAGTTTGATTGATTTTGACAAAATAAAATTAAATTTTTTAAATCATTCTATATTAATACATTAACAACATCACATCAATCACAGTTATCTCGTCACTAATATGCTGTGTTTCTATCATCCTATACTGTCCTATTCATGTTAGCCTACTCGTGGACATTGCGTCATCACATGCTGTAGCGGGGCCCGCCTTAATAATCCTGCATTAGGGCCCGATGTTGGCTCGTCACGCCAATGTTCAGCAGGCAGTGGTTTGAGTGAGAGCTCTTGTCCAGCCTTACACACACACACCGCCTATGATTATTTACCTTTGGGTTTTATTTGTATTCTGTTAATTGGCTATTTTATTTATAAATGTATTTTGTTGTTTTCAAGAAACAGTTGGCTGACCTTAATAAATCACATTATGCAGTGAGGTCCAACTTAATTCACCAAGATGCAGTGAATTTATGTAAGGGTGAATCTATTGTTGAATCCATATTATAAATATTTTTACTGCTCATATTATTTAGGCTATAGTAAAAGTTGATTTGGTCCAGTGCTTAGATGTGATTTATTGAATGCGGCCCCTTTAAGAAATATGACACCGCGCACATTGAGCATGCGCACTGCGCAGAAGAGTGAAGCGCGATAGTATTTAGAGCTTTGTTTTCCTTCTTCTCTCTCTCTTTCTGTTGTTTCCTTTGACGCTGCTATGAATGTTACCGTCGAACACTTTGTGATCCACTGTAAGTGTATATTATGTTAAAATTCTTGATAATGCAATTAAAAAGAGAGAAAGACACGAGACAAGAGCTGAAACTTTCACCAGTTGAGGCTGAAAGTGACGCTGTTAACGATCATGAATGAAGAGCAAATGTGAAATATATGCCGCATATTTCCAGTCTGCAGGTGAGAGTTGTTATATTTATCATGTAAAAATTGATGTTTGTTTTGCCCAAATGTACAGTTCGTATCGTAACGTACAGAGAATTAAATCATTAACGTTAGTTTTGATTAGCAAAACGTTATGTATAACGGTAGGAACATTTTGTAGGATTTCTGTTATCTTTGTAAGATTACTGTTTAATTTATATAGGATAATTTAACATGTGACTTCTTTCATCCTCATAAAATCTTAAGTCACATAACAATGAACAACCTTTTTATAGAGTCATTTTAAATGCTACATAACCGTATCAACATTATCTATATTTCTTAAATCAAGCACATGTGGCCATTTTATTTAAGAAGTGTAATTATTAAAGTATAAACTCAGTAACCTTGAATTTGGCAGATCTGCCGTCCCTCACAATAGTTCACCAATTTGGAAAGTTTAAGCCTAGTTCAACCAAAAATTGCAATATGATAATTGAAATTAAATAATGAGCAAGATAAATTATTCTGAAAAAAAAACTTAAATTATTATAATTTTGTTCAGTATTTGTGATCCACATTTTTATGGTCGTGTCATTCTCAGTCCCTTAAAGGGATAGTTCACCCAAAAATGAAAATTCTGTCAGTATTTACTCACCCTCATGTTGTTCCAACCCCGTAAGACCTTCGTTCATCTTCGGAACACAAATTAAGATATTTAAGATATTAAGATCGCTCCTGCATACTAGTCCATAGGCTTCTTGAGGGAATGACTCTAGCTGGCATCGAAAAGTCATTAAATACATCGTTAAAATAGTCCAAGTGACTACAGGGGCTCAATCTTAAGTTTATCAAATGACAAGAATCCTTTTTGTGCCAAAAACAAACAAAAATAACGACTTTATTTCAACTATTCACTTCCTTCTCCATGGGCCTGTAGTCAGTTAACGTAGTGTTATTGTGTAAAGCTACGTCACACGTAGGCTCACTATTGGCCGACCAGGGCCTGAAATTAACACCCGACCACCTGCCAAATGCGGGTGAATTTTGCTATTGGCGGGTAACACTGTCAATCTACCTGCCACATTGGCGGGTAGCCAATGAGAATTGAGTGATTCATTAGGATTTTTACATTTCAACGAAGTCCGCTATTGCGGTGGACTTTAGCTAAAATGTGGCGGCACATTACTGGGGTAAAGAGGCCAGCTGAAACAAAACAAACAGCCAACAAAAAGATGAGGATGAGAAAAAGAAAAGTAAAGAAGACATTTTAATACAAAGTGAACAATCGGCGGCAATGGCAAGGTTCGTGAGCGGCTGATTTATGACAGCGACTGTTGTTTCGTAACGTTCATGCGATCAGAAAGAAGATGAGGCTCTTTTTCTGACTACGTGTGCGAGTATTAAACTGTTGGTGAGATGGGATGAGATAATGTAACGCGTCGCTGTTGTAGGTTACAGTACAATGACAGTTGCACAGATGTGTGTGCGTGTGCAACTGTGCATGTTGGGAGTTGGGAACCGGTGAGAAAATGTCCAGTACCCGGTAATTTTATCAGTAATAACATTATTAATTTAGTTCATATTTAACCGTTCCTGAACGCTGTAACTAAAAGCTGTTAAGAGTAAGACCTGTACGTGACTAAATCCGCCATCAACACAGCCGCGTGTGATTTGTTTACGAGCTGCGGTAGGTCTATCTGTTGAGTATATACTATATATGTTGTGTGTGTGTGTGTGTCTGTCAAAATCAATGAATAAAAATATTTTTTTTTATGTATGTTATTAGAGTTATTATTACTTGACAGCACTAAAATGTGTGTTCTTACAAGTTAAAGAACAATATTGTGAAATTCCCGGGTTTGTTTTTTTTTTTTTTTTTACGTTTATGAGGCAAAAAAAAAATGGCTGGTAAAAAGTCTCTGTGGCGGGTGAATTTTTAAATCCACCTGCCACAGTGGCCGGTGGCCAAAAAAATTAACTTCAGGCCCTGTGGCCGACGCTGGTCATGTGTGTGTGATGCGTGTGACGTACAATAACAGAAGCTTACGCTATTAAACTAGTAACCTGACTCGAGGCAGAGGGAGAAATAAACGAATAGTTGAAATAAAGTCGTTATTTTTGTTGTTTTTTTGCGCACAAAAGTATACTCGTCATTTGATAAACTTAAGATTGAGCCCCTGTAGTCACTTGGACTATTTTAACGATGTATTTAATGACTTTTCGATGCCAGCTAGAGTCATTCCCTCAAGAAGCCTATGGACTAGTATGCAGGAGCGATCTTAATATCTTAAATATCTTAATTTGTGTTCCGGAAATGAACGAAGGTCTTACGGGGTTGATCTACAGTTGTTTTATATGCTACATATAACAATTGCAATGCTCTATTTGAACTAAATCAAAGGCACCATGTGTTTACTGTTAAAGAAACCCAGTATAAATTCAGTAACTCATCTTTGATTTTCCAGATCTGGTCCTGTGTGACTGTTAAAGATGGAGTTCATTAAAGAGGAGATTAAAGAGGAGATGGAGTTTATTAAAGAGGAGATGGAGTTTATTAAAGTGGAAATTGAAGACATGACTGATCCAGAAGCATCCAGGATAAAACATGAAGATACTGAGGAACAAATAGGTTGGTGTCCATTCTTGATTCTTTATTGTTGACTGCTTTCAGATCTGAAATATGGATTACAAATGAAATGACAGAGAAATGCATGTAAATGATCATAAGCCAGTTTTAATCGTTTTAACAAGAGAATGACAAAACTGACCTTTTAAGGATACTTTAATCAGACAGGTGTCTTGTTTTCTGCTTGCTATGGGTTTTTAATTCTCACATTTAACATCATTGAACTGATTCTAACTGATTAATATGTTTATTTTAGACCAGATGGAAGTGAAGGAGCAAAGACAGAAACTAAATGACGTGAAGAAACACTGCGACTTCAAAACTCAAGAAACAAAAGCCAAAAAGCTGCACTCCTGCTCTCAGTGTGGAAAGAGTTTCAGTGCAAAAGGAGACCTTAACAGACATTTGAAAATTCACACTGGAGAGAAACTGTATCCATGCACTCAGTGTGAGAAGAGTTTTACTAATGCTACAGCTCTCAAGTATCATCAGCACGTTCACACTGGAGAAAAACCATTCAACTGTGATCAGTGTGGTAAAGATTTTATTTCATCATCACAACTAAAACGACACCTGAAAATTCATTCAGATGTGAAGCCTTATGTGTGTTCTCTCTGTGGAAAGAGTTTCAGAGGAAAAGGAGACCTTAACACACACATGAGAATTCACACTGGAGAGAAACCGTATCCATGCACTCAGTGTGAGAAGAGTTTTACTCGTGCGTCAGCTCTCAGTTATCATCTACACGTTCACTCTGGAGAAAAACCATTCAACTGTGATCAGTGTGGTAAAGATTTTAGTTCATCATCACAACTAAAACAACACCTGAAAGTTCATTCAGATGTGAAGCCTTATGTGTGTTCTCTCTGTGGAAAGAGTTTTTCATGGCTGAAAAGTTTTAAACTGCACCAGAAAATACACAATGAAGTGAGAGATCATGTGTGTTGTGACTGTGGGAAGAGATTTATTACATCTCATAATCTGAAACAGCACCGAAGAATTCATACTGGAGAAAAACCTTACAAGTGCTCATACTGTGACAAGAGTTTCACTCATTCTGGATCCCTGAAACAACATGAGCAAGTTCACTCTGGAAAGAAGCCGTACCACTGCTCTGAGTGTGGAAAAGGTTTTACTTCAACATCATGTCTCAAAATACACCTAACTTTTCATACAGGTGTTAAACCTCACTTGTGTTCTCTCTGTGGAAAGAGTTTCAGAGGAAAAGGAAGCCTTAACACACACATGAGAATTCACACTGGAGAGAAACCGTATCCATGCACTCAGTGTGAGAAGAGTTTCACTGTAGTATCAGCTCTCAAGCGTCATCTGCACGTTCACTCTGGAGAAAAACCATTCAACTGTGATCAGTGTGGTAAAGATTTTATTTCGTTGTCAAATCTAAATTCACACCTGAAAGTTCATTCAGATAAGAAGCCTCATGTGTGTTCTCTCTGTGGAAAGAGTTTTTCATGGCTGAATAGTTTTAAACGGCACCAGACAACACATAATGAACTGAGAGATCGTGTGTTGTGACTGTGGGAAGAGCTTAACTATATCTAGTCACCTGAAACAGCACCAAATAATTCATACTGGAGAAAAACCTTACAAGTGCTCATACTGTGACGAGTTTTGTTCAGTCTGGATCTCTGATAAACACCGGACGCGAATAGCACGTCTTTGTTAAAGCCTTACTTTCCAGTTAGACTAAAGATTAGCTTTCCTTGAGAGAAAGAAGGCATTATCTTGATGTGATGTTTTGAGACGACTCTCCTGTATATAGTTAGAGCCTGGCCAAATTCAACCTTGGAAAAGCAGTGTGTCGGTGTGTGTGTTGGTCTTTTTGGTTGCAGGTTAAGGAACCACTGCCATTATCGGAGATTGACTGATTTGTTGTTCTGGACACACTGGCGCCAACAACCCAAATCTGTGACCTGGAAGGTCATGACGAGCCTCTGAGTGTCAGCTGCATAATCGATAGAGATCTGTTTCGTCTATCTGTAAATGTGTGGAAAATTACTGTTTATCTATTTCTTGGCCAATGAGAATCATTTAACGTGTAAGCAATGACGTAGCTTAGACCTTGGAAATGGTATAACTGCTGTGATCTTTGTAACTGGAAGAGAGACGGCCTACGAACTCCTGTGAGAGTCCTGAAGCTGATGAAACTGCTAACTACATTAAGTAAAACTTTTTTTTTTTTTTTAATTCTGACTCTGGGTCTTCATTCTTCATATCTGATTCTGGGTCTTTGACTGTGAACCCCTTACAACTGCTATAACGTGGACATTCAAATGCTCTTGGCAGACGTGATACTGTCATGTTTCTCTGTATGAACACAGTAATCTTTCTAGTGATACTGAGTTAACTGCTATAAACTAGACATTAACCTAGAAATTAGTTGCCGTTCTATCAGCAGCTGTTGCTTAAAGTCCCTAATAACTCTTACACTGTGTCCTAACTACACATGACGCGGGATAAACAGTATCTTTTCCATGTTAATCAGAGTTTTTGTCCTAACCAGCCGTGATGGCGACACGCAACAATTCTTTTTCAGAAACGGTTTCTTAGAAACGTCGCTGCTGGAACAACAAATTTTGGCAATGATAATAATAATTTGATACATTTATAAAGTGCTTTACTGATTGGCTGTGGGTTTTGATTGATTTTGACAAAATAAAATAAAACTGAAACAACATCTTTTCTTGTTTGATCTATCTAATGATCACAGAATGATTAAGTTTTAATCACATAAAAGATTTTTTTTTAATCATTCTATATTAATACATTAACAATATCTCATCAATGTGATATATATGTTTGGGATACATACAGTTTTATTGTCAATCAAAAGCCAAAAGCTCTTTTACATGTCATCAGTGTGGAAAGAATTTTAAACGTTAAAATAACTTAAGCTTCAGCAGCACAGTCATCTCGTCTCTTAAATGCTGTTTCTATCATCCTATACTGCCCTGTTCATGTTAGTCTACTCGTGGACATTACGTCATCATGCTGTAGCGGGGCCCGCCTTAATAATCCTGCATTAGGGCCCGGTGTTGGCTCGTCACGCCAATGTTCAGCAGGTAGTGGTTTGAGTGAGAGCTCTTGTCCAGCCTTACACACACACAACCGCCTATGATTATTTACCTTTGGGTTTTATTCATTTTCTGTTCACTGGCTATTTTATTTATAAATGTATTTTGCTTTTTTCATGAAACTGTTGGCTCACATTAATAAATCACATAATACACATTGAGGAACTTAATTCACAAAGATCCGGTGAATGTATGTTAGGGTGAATCTATTGTTGAATCCATATATTATATATATTATTACTGTGCATTATTAATTATTATAACAGTTGTTTTGGTCCAGTGCGTAGATGTGATTTACTGAATGCGGCCCCTTTAAGAAATATGACACCGCGCGAAATGAGCATGCGCGGAAGAGTGAAGCGCGAGAGTCTTTAGAGCTTTGTTTTCTTTCTTCTCTCTCTTTCTTTCTGTTGTTTCTGCTGTTATGAATGTTAACGTTGAAGTTCTTGATAATGCAATAAAAAAGAGAGAAGCGCGAGAGACACGAGACAAGAGCTGAAACTTTCACCAGTTGAGGCTGAAAGTGACGCTGTTTAACGATCATCCAGTCTGCAGGTGAGAGTTGTTCTATTTATCATGAAAGAATTTTGTGTTGCTCAAATGTCCAGTTCGTAGCATAATAACATACAGATAATTAAATCATTAACGTTAGTTTTGATAATACAGATTATACAGGCTTATTTTGTATGATTTCTGTTGATTCCTGTTTAATTGACATTTAATAATTTAACATATCACTCGTTTTATCCTCATAAAATCTGGAGTCACATAACAATGAACAACCTTTATATAGAGCCGTTTTAAATGCTACATAACCATATCCGCATTATCTATTTTTTATTAAATCAAGCACATATGGCCATTATTTAAGAAGTGTAATTATTAAAGTAAACTCTAACCTTGAATTTGGCACATCTGCCGTCCCTCACAATAGTTCAGAAAGCTTCAACTAAAAATTCCAATATATGATAAATTAAATTAAATTAAATAATGAGCAATATATGATCAATTATTCAAAAATAAAAAAATTTTTTATAAATAAATTATTATAATATTGTAAAGTACTTGTTATCCACATTTTGATGGTCAAGTGTCATTCTCGGTCCCTTAATCAATGTTGGATTTCTATTGTCTTATGTTACATTTCTCATTAGTTTAGATATTAATTGAATAATAGAACCTGTGCCCTGTTTCATCCTTATTATATCCTCCTGAGTTATATGAAAATGATCAACCTACAGTTGTTTTATATGCTACTAATATATAACAAAACAATCAAAATGCTCTATATTTGAACTAAATCAAAGGCACCATATGTGTTTACTGTTAAAGTAATCCAATATAAATTTAATATCTTATCTCTGATTTTCCCAGATATGGTCCTGTGGGCGTCAGTATCACACAGTGATCACAGTTCACACCTGCAGTGAAGCCCCTCCCACAACAATTCACCAATAAATACTGGGAATATTCCCATCATCCTACAAGAGAAGGACAAACTCCAGGAGTAGCAGCTGAAATCTGTGTGACTGTTAAAGATGGAGTTTATTAAAGAGGAGATTAAAGAGGAGATGGAGTTTATTAAAGTGAAAATTGAAGACATGACTGATCCAAAACCATCCAGAATAAAACAAGAAGATACTGAGGAACAAATAGGTTGGTGTCCATTCTTGATTCTTCATTGTTGACTGCTTTCGTATCTCTGAAAATATGGATTACAAATGACAGAGAAATGCATGTAAATGATCATAAGCCAGTTTTAATCGTTTTAACAAGAGAATGACAAAACTGAACTTTTAAAGATACTTTAATCAGACAGGTGTCTTGTTTTCTGCTTGCTATGGGTTTTTAATTCTCACATTTAACATTATTGAACTGATTCTAACTGATTAATATGTTTATTTTAGACCAGATGGAAGTGAAGGAGCAAAGACAGAAACTAAATGAAGTGAAGAAACACTGTGACTTCAAAACTCAAGGAATAAAAGCCAAAAAGCTGCACTCCTGCTCACAGTGTGGAAAGAGTTTCCAAAATAAAGGTGACCTTAAAAGACACATAAGAGTTCACACTGGAGAGAAACCGTATCCATGCACTCAGTGTGAGAAGAGTTTTACTCGTGCGTCAGCTCTCAAGTATCATCTGCTCTATCACTCTGGAGAAAAACCATTCAACTGTGATCAGTGTGGGAAAGATTTTATTTCATCATCAAATCTAAAAAGACACCTGAAAGTTCATTCAGATGAGAAGCCTTATGTGTGTTCTCTCTGTGGAAAGAGTTTTTCACGACTAAATAGTTTTAAACTGCACCAGAAAACACATGATGAAGTGAGAGATCGTGTGTGTTGTGACTGTGGGAAGAGCTTTATTACATCACATGATCTGAAACGGCACCAAATAGTTCATACTGGAGAAAAACCTTACAAGTGCTCATACTGTGACAAGAGTTTCACTCAGTCTGGAACCCTGAAACAACATGAGCAAATTCACTCTGGAAAGAAGCCGTACCACTGCTCTGAGTGTGGAAAAGGTTTTACTTTACCATTATACCTCAAAAAACACCTAACTTTTCATACAGGTGTTAAACCTCACTTGTGTTCTCTCTGTGGAAAGAGTTTCACACAGAAGGGAGACGTTAAGACACACATGAAAATTCACACTGGAGAGAAACCGTATCCATGCACTCAGTGTGGAAAGAGTTTTACTCGTGCGTCATCTCTCAGTTATCATCTGCTCATTCACTCTGGAGAAAAACCATTCAACTGTGATCAGTGTGGTAAAGGGTTTATTTCGTCTAAACATCTAAAATCACACCTGATAGTTCATTCAGATGAGAAGCCTCATGTGTGTTCTCTCTGTGGAAAGAGTTTTTCACGACTAGACAGTTTTAAACTGCACCAGAAAACACATGATGAAGTGAGAGATCATTTGTGTTGTGACTGTGGGAAGAGCTTTACTTTATTTCGTGATCTGAAAATGCACCAAAGAATTCATACTGGAGAAAAACCTCACAAGTGCTCATACTGTGGGAAGAGTTTCACTCAGCCTGGAAACCTGAAACAACACGAGCGAGTTCATACTGTAGAGAAGCCGTATCACTGTACTCAGTGTGAGAAGAGTTTTAAACATTTATCAAGCCTTCATGCTCATATGAAAAAGTGCAAGTGATCAACATTTGTTTTCATCTCTACTACATTTAGATCAATTCCACAAGATAAAATATGGATTTTTTTTAATAAATGAAAGACTAGAAAGACTTAAGAGTTCAAGCTTCTTGTCACAGTCCTTCGTCTGCACCTGTCTGCGTCTCCAGCACTACACTTCCCAGGATCCTCTTGTCTCCACACCTGAACTCACTCCCTCATCAGCCTCCCGTTCAGCGTCCTGTATTCATCTGTTTCACCTGTTTTCACCTCGTTTAGTTTGATTCCTCTGTGTATTTAGTTCCTTCCCATTCAGTCTGTCTTGGTCGGTCGATGTTGAATGTTACCCTGTGATGCACCTGTGTACCTTCTTCTTGCCTGTTTTTGGAATTAAAGATATCTTCATTTGAATCTGGACCCTGCCTGATCTTCTGCCTGCACCAGAGTGTGACACTTCTACAGTGTAAATCTTTTTTGTGTGCAAAATCTCTCTGTATGGATTGTGTGCTTAGTAGGTCTATCTTGAATTATATGTCACTTATTTACAAAGTTTACTATATTGTCTTCTGATAGTACATGCAATTACGAGAAATAAACAGAAAAATATATTTGCTAATATATGTTTTTGGAAATTGTTTTTAACACACGGTAAGTTTATCTTCACGGCCTCGCTTTCATACCTGTTATGGCGCTGCTCTGAATAAGGTCTAGTTCCCTCTTTTCACCTCATTAATTATGGTGAAGTCATTAGTGTCAACAGGCTGAGACAGCCGGTAATTCTATTACTATGGAGTAAAATGTTCCTAGATTAGCAGTTATGAGAAAATTTTCTGGCTAAAAGCGGCCAAAAGCTTCAGCAGCACATCCGTAAGTATCGGTAAGCAGGGTATGCAGTTGTCAGTCATCTCGTCTCTTATATGCTGTGTCTCTATGATCCTAACCTGTCCTATTCATGTTAGCCTACTCGTGGACATTGCGTCATCACATGCTGTAGTGGGGCCCGCCTTAATAATCCTGCATTCGGGCCCGATGTTGGCTCGTCACGCCAATGTTCAGCAGGTAGTGGATTGAGTGAGAGCTCTTGTCCAGCCTTTTTCACACACCGCCTATGATTATTTACCTTCGGGTTTTATTCATTTTCTGCTCACTAGCTATTTTATTTATAAATGTATTTTGTTGTTTGAATGAAACTGTTGGAACCATACATGAAACCATGTATTATATATATTATTACTGTGCATTATTAATTATTATAACAGTTGATTTGGTCGAGTGCATAGATGTGATTTACTGAATGCGGCCCCTTTAAGAAATATGACACCGCGCGCACTGAGCATGCGCAGAAGAGTGAAGCGCGAGAGCATTTATAGCTTTGTTTTCTTTCTTCTCTCTTTTTGTTGTTTCCTTTGACGCTATGGATATTACAGTCGAACACTTTGTCATCCACTGAAAGTGTATATTATGTTAATGTTCTTTTGATAATGCAATAAAAAACAGAGAAAGACACGAGACAAGAGCTGAAACTTTCACCAGTTGAGGCTGAAAGTGACGCTGTTTAACGATCATGAATGAAGAGCAAATGTGAAATATATGCCGCATATTTCCAGTCTGCAGGTGAGAGTTGTTATATTTATCATGTAAGAATTTTGTGTTGCTCAAATGTCCAGTTCGTAGCATAATAACGTACAGATTAATTCATGAACGTTAGTTTTGATAATACATAGGCTTATTTTGTATGATTTCTGTGATTCCTGTTTAATTGACATTTAATAATTTAACATGTGACTCGTTTTATCCTCATAAAATCTGGAGCCACATAACAATGAACAACCTTCATATAAAGCCGTTTTAAATGCTACATAACCATATCCGCATTATCTATTTTTTATTAAATCAAGCACATCTGGCCTGAAGTGTAATTATTAAAGTATAAACTCATGATAAATGAAATAAAATAATCCATAATATATGATAAATTATTCTGAAAAAAAAACACTTAAATTATTATAATATTGTTAAGTACTTGTTATCCACATTTTTATGGTCGTGTCATTCTCAGTCTTTTTTTATTAAAAAATTAGGAATATATGATAAATTATTCTGAAAAACAACAACACTTAAATTATCATAGTATTGTTAAGTACTTGCTATCCATATTTTGGTGGTCAAGTGTTAGATTATTTTCTTTTGTGTCATCATTCTCAGTCCCTTATCAATGGTTGATTTCTGTCGTCTTATGTTATATTTCTCATTAGTTTAGATATTAATTGAATAATAGAACCTGTGCCCTCTTTCATCCTTATTATATCCTCCTGACTTACATGAAAATTATCAACCTACAGTTGTTTTATATGCTACTAATATGTAACAATCACAATGCTCTATATTTGAACTAAATCAAAGGCACCATATGTGTTTTCTGTTAAAGTTTACCAGTATAAATTCAGTAACTTATCTCTGATTTTTCCAGATCTGGTCCTGTGGGCGTCAGTATCACACAGTGATCACAGTTCACACCTGCAGTGAAGCCCCTCCCACAACAATTCACCAATAAATACTGGGAATATTCCCATCATCCTTCAAGAGAAGGACAAACTCCAGGAGTAGCAGCTGAAATCTGTGTGACTGTTAAAGATGGACTTTATTAAAGAGGAGATTAAAGAGGAGATGGAGTTTATTAAAGTGAAAATTGAAGACATGACTGATCCAGAACCATCCAGAATAAAACACGAAGATACTGAGGAACAAATAGGTTGGTGTCCATTCTTGATTCTTCATTGTTGACTGCTTTCGTTGCTCTGAAATATGGATTACAAATGACATAGAAATGCATGTAAATGATCATAAGCCAGTTTTAATCGTTTTAACAAGAGAATGACAAAACTGACCTTTTAAGGATACTTTAATCAGACAGGTGTCTTGTTTTCTGCTTGCTATGGGTTTTTAATTCTCACATTTAACATCATTGAACTGATTCTAACTGATTAATATGTTTATTTTAGACCAGATGGAAGTGAAGGAGCAAAGACAAAAACTAAATGAAGTGAAGAAACACTGTGACTTCAAAACTCAAGGAATAGAAGCTAATAATCTGCACTCCTGCTCACAGTGTGGAAAGAGTTTCCAAAATAAAGGTGACCTTAAAAGACACATAAGAGTTCACACTGGAGAAAAACCGTATCCATGCACTCAGTGTGAGAAGAGTTTCAGACAAAAAGGAAACCTTAAGACACACATGAGAATTCACACTGGAGAGAAACCGTATACATGCACTCAGTGTGAGAAGAGTTTCACTCATTCATCAGCTCTCAAGTATCATCTGCTCCATTACTCTGGAGAAAAAACATTCAACTGTGATCAGTGTGGTAAAGATTTTATTTCATCATCACAACTAAAAAGACACCTGAAAGTTCATTCAGATGTGAAGCCTTATGTGTGTTCTGTCTGTGGAAAGAGTTTTTCACGACTGAACAGTTTTAAACTGCACCAGAAAACACATGATGAAATGAGAGATCATGTGTGTTGTGATTGTGGGAAGAGCTTTATTACATCTCATGATCTGAAACGGCACCAAATAGTTCATACTGGAGAGAAACCTTACAAGTGCTCATACTGTGACAAGAGTTTCACTCAGTCTGGAACCCTGAAACAACATGAGCAAATTCACTCTGGAAAGAAGCCGTACCACTGCTCTGAGTGTGGAAAAGGTTTTACTTTACCATTATACCTCAAAAAACACCTAACTTTTCATACAGGTGTTAAACCTCACTTGTGTTCTCTCTGTGGAAAGAGTTTCACACAGAAGGGAGACGTTAAGACACACATGAAAATTCACACTGGAGAGAAACCGTATCCATGCACTCAGTGTGGAAAGAGTTTCATATCTTCATCCTTTCTCAAGTATCATTTGCGTATTCACTCCGGAGAAAAACCATTTAACTGTGATCGGTGTGGTAAAAGGTTTATTACATCATCAAATCTAAAGAGACATCTGAAAGTTCATTCAGATGAGAAGCCTCATGTGTGTTCTCTCTGTGGAAAGAGTTTTTCACGACTAGACAGTTTTAAACTGCACCAGAAAACACATGATGAAGTGAGAGATCATGTGTGTTGTGACTGTGGGAAGAGCTTTACTTTATTTCGTGATCTGAAAATGCACCAAAGAATTCATACTGGAGAAAAACCTCACAAGTGCTCATACTGTGGGAAGAGTTTCACTCAGCCTGGAAACCTGAAACAACACGAGCGAGTTCATACTGTAGAGAAGCCGTATCACTGTAAAGAGTGTGAGAAGAGTTTTAAACATTTATCAAGCCTTCATGGTCATATGAAAAAGTGCAAGTGATCAACAATCGTTTTCATATCAACTACATTTAGATCAATTCCACAAGATAAAATATGGATTTTTTTTTTAATAAATGAAAGACTAGAAAGACTTAAGAGTTCAAGCTTCTACAGTGTAAATCTTTTTTGTGTGCAAAATCTCTCTGTATGGATTGTGTGCTTAGTAGGTCTATCTTGAATTATGTCACTTACCTATTTACAAAGTTTACTGTATTGTCTTATGATAATACATGCAATTACGAGAAATAAACAGAAAAAATAATTGTCTTGACAAAAATTGTTTAACTGTGTTTAAACTGAAACAAGTCTAATATATGTATTTGGAAATCGTTTTTAACACACGGTAAGTTTATCTTCACGGCCTCGCTTTCATACCTGTTATGGCGCTGCTCTGAATAAGGTCTAGTTCCCTCTTTTCACCTCATTAATTATGGTGAAGTCATTAGTGTCAACAGGCTGAGACAGCCGGTAATTCTATTACTATGGAGTAAAATGTTCCTAGATTAGCAGTTATGAGAAAATTTTCTGTCTAAAATCGAACAAAAGCTTCAGCAGCACATCCGTAAGTATCGGTAAGCAGGGTACGCAGTTGCTTACGGGGCCGAACTAATCAGGAGCCCGCGTCACTGGAAGATATTGATTGACAGCCGGGGCCTCCTATCGCATTACTACTTTTAGTCTGATCACATTTTATATTATCACAAATTTATTTGAATAAATAATGACAACAACATATTTTTAGTGATCATTAAATACATGTGTGAAACTAACAATGATGGATTTTGTTGTCATTTGTTTCGAATTGTGACTGGGGAAACCACGGTCCTGTAAGTGAGCATGCATATTACATGCAAAACAGTAAAAACGTTGAACTTGAGACACACAATATTGATATGGAGTCGTAGTCGAATTATAAAAATAGCTTTTAAAACGAAAATAGGAATTTGAGATGTTTATCTTATTTTGTCAGTCATCTCGTCTCTTATATGCTGTGTCTCTAAGATCATATCCTGTCCTATTCATGTTAGCCTACTCGTGGACATTGCGTCGTCACATGCTGTAGCGGGGCCCGCCTTAATAATCCTGCATTAGGGCCCGATGTTGGCTCGTCACGCCAATGTTCAGCAGGCAGTGGTTTGAGTGAGAGCTCTTGTCCAGTCTTACACACACACCGCCTATGATTATTTACCTTCGGGTTTTATTCATATTCTCTTCACTGGCTATTTTATTTAGAAATGTATTTTGTTGTTTGAATGAAACTGTTGGCTGACAATAAATCTTAACTTAGATCTGATGAATTTATGTAAGGGTGAATCTATTTTTTAATCCATATATTATATATATTATTACTGTCCATTCTTAATTATTATAACAGTTGATTAGGTCGAGTGCATAGATTTGATTTACTGAATGCGGCCCCTTTAAGAAATATGACACCGCGCGCACTGAGCATGCGCAGAAGAGTAAAGCGCGAGAGCATTTGTATAGCTTTGTTTTCTTTCTTCTCTCTTTTTGTTGTTTCCTTTGACGCTGCTATGGATATTACAGTCGAACACTTTGTCATCCACTGTAAGTGTATATTATGTTAATGTTCTTGTTAATGCAATAAAAAGAGAAAAGCGCGAGAGACACGAGACAAGAGCTGAAACTTTCACCAGTTGAGGGTGAAAGTGATCATGAATGAAGAGCAAATGTGAAATATATGCCGCATATTTCCAGTCTGCAGGTGAGAGTTGTTTATCATGTAAGAATTTTGTGTTGCTCAAATGTCCAGTTCGTAGCATAATAACGTACAGAGAATTAAATAATGAACGTTAGTTTTGACAATACATATAGGCTTATTTTGTATGATTTCTGTTATCTTTGTATTAATTGTTATATTAATTAATACAATTGTTATATATGTAATATTGTTAAGTACTTGTTATCCACATTTTTATGGTCGTGTCATTCTCAGTCTTTTTTATAAAAAAATTCGGAATATATGATAAATTATTCTGAAAAACAACAACACTTAAATTATCATAACATTGTAAAGTACTTGTTATCCATATTTTGATAGTCAAGTGTTAGATTATTTTCTTTTGTGTCATCATTCTCAGTCCCTTATCAATGGTTGATTTCTGTCGTCTTATGTTATATTTCTCATTAGTTTAGATATTAATTGAATAATAGAACCTGTGCCCTCTTTCATCCTTATTATATCCTCCTGAGTTATATGAAAATGATCAACCTACAGTTGTTTTATATGCTACTAATATGTAACAATCACAATGCTCTATATTTGAACTAAATCAAAGACACCATATGTGTTTTCTGTTAAAGTATTCCAGTATAAATTCAGTAACTTATCTCTGATTTTTCCAGATCTGGTCCTGTGGGCGTCAGTATCACACAGTGATCACAGTTCACACCTGCAGTGAAGCCCCTCCCACAACAATTCACCAATAAATACTGGGAATATTCCCATCATCCTACAAGAGAAGGACAAACTCCAGGAGTAGCAGCTGAAATCTGTGTGACTGTTAAAGATGGAGTTCATTAAAGAGGAGATTGAAGACATGACTGATCCAGAACCATCCAGAATAAAACATGAAGATACTGAGGAACAAATAGGTTGGTGTCCATTCTTGATTCTTCATTGTTGACTGCTTTCGTATCTCTGAAATATGGATTACAAATAAAATGACAGAGAAATGCATGTAAATGATCATAAGCCAGTTTTAATCGTTTTAACAAGAGAATGACCAAACTGGACTTTTAAAGATACTTTATACAGACAGGTGTCTTGTTTTCTGCTTGCTAAGTCAAGTGTGTTTAATTCTCACATTTAACGTCATTGTACTGATTCTAACTGATTAATATGTTTATTTTAGACCAGATGGAAGTGAAGGAGCAAAGACAGAAACTAAATGAAGTGAAGAAACACTGTGACTTCAAAACTCAAGAAACAAAAGCCAATGAGCGGCACTCCTGCTCACAGTGTGGAAAGAGTTTCACAAATAAAGGAAACCTTAACAAACACTTGAAAATTCACACTGGAGAGAAACCATTCAACTGTGATCAGTGTGGTAAAGATTTTATTTCATCATCACTACTAAAAAGACACCTGAAAGTTCATTCAGATGAGAAGCCTTATGTGTGTTCTGTCTGTGGAAAGAGTTTTTCATGGCTGAACAGTTTTAAACTGCACCAGAAAACACATAATGAAATGAGAGATCATGTGTGTTGTGACTGTGGGAAGAGCTTTATTACATCTCATGATCTGAAACGGCACCAAATAATTCATACTGGAGAAAAGCCTTACAAGTGCTCATACTGTGACAAGAGTTTCACTCAGTCTAGAACCCTTAAACGACATGAGCAAATTCACTCTGGAAAGAAGCCGTACCACTGCTCTGAGTGTGGAAAAGGTTTTACTTCACCATCATATCTCAAAAAACACCTAAATTTTCATTCAGGTGTTAAACCTCACTTGTGTTCTCTCTGTGGAAAGAGTTTCAGAGGAAAAGGAAGCCTTAACGCACACATGAGAATTCACACTGGAGAGAAACCGTATCCATGCACTCAGTGTGGAAAGAGTTTTACTGTAGTATCAGCTCTCAAGTATCATCTGCTCGTTCACTCTGGAGAAAAACCATTTAACTGTGATCAGTGTGGTAAAGATTTTATTTCATCATCAAATCTAAACCAACACCTGAAAGTTCATTCAGATGAGAAGCCTTATGTGTGTTCTCTCTGTGGGAAGAGTTTTCCACGACTGGGCAGTTTAAAAGTGCACCAGAAAACACATGATGAAGTGAGAGATCATGTGTGTTGTGACTGTGAGAAGAGATTTACAACATCTAGTCATCTGAAACGTCACCAAAGGATTCATATTGGAAAAAAAAACCCTTAAAAGTGCTCATACTGTGACAAGAGATTCGTTCAGTCTGGATCTGTGATTCACACCGGACGCGAATAGCACGTCTTTGTTAAAGCCTTACTTTCCAGTTAGACTAAAGTTTAGCTTTCCTTGAGAGAAAGAAGGCATTACCTTGATGTTTTGAGACGACTCTCCTGTATATAGTTAGAGCCTGGCCAACATGACATCATGACTATTGCGTAAACATACACGCCACTTTCGAGTCAAGTAGCGCGTTATCTCTACTCATTTTGAGCTAAACCGCGTGTATGTCTACGCCATTAACGTCCGAGTGATTCCGCGTGTCTGTACACGCCGTCAAATGTTCAGTCATAAATGCCATTAACCCGTTAGGTTAGGTTTAGGGGCGGGGTTGAGGTCATATATTTATACAGGAATAACGTTAAGTCAACGGCGTTCATAAACACGCTGAAAAGCGATTATGCATCTTGATAGTACGCCAAAAATGGAAATACGAATTGGCGTGTCATACACGCGCTACTTCATGAGATCAGGCTGGCCTGGCCAAATTCAACCTTGGAAAAGCAGTGTGTCGGTGTGTGTGTTGGTCATTTTGGTTGCAGGTTATGGAACAGCGCGTTCTTGAACGCTGGGAGAACACTGGCTCTCGCTCTGGCTCTGCGACTCCGGTTATCTCTGCATGTTCATTTTAGGCAACAATAAAATGAAATATGTTATAAAACACCACTCTACTTCTTTTCGATTTAATTTCAATACATTTTTAACATTATAAAGCACACAAATGTGGTTCAGGCAACGCTTAGCCTATTGATTATATTTACTGCATGTATGTAACATTATATATATAACAAAACTAAATATAAAACACAACCCTGCCCCTTTTCGTTTAAATTTAAAAATATTAAACATATTCCAGGCAATATGTAATGTATTGCATATCGCATTGGTACAAATGTTGAAATAAACAACAGATGATCTTGTAATAAAAAAAAATGACAAAACTATCTCTTTTGTTAAATTTCAGTTTTATCAATAATGATAGCCATTATAAAGTATAAGTAAAAGGTACAAAAAGATATACAGTAAAGTTTAAATAATATAAAGAAACAATTCAGTCAGTCAAATATACAAATTCAGCGCTCAAAGATATGAAACTTCACATAGCCTGAATTCTGCCAAAACTATTGGCCAGAAAACGAATTATAGATTCACGAGACCAAAGATCACCTGTTAGGTTTATACAAGACGACCTATCTCATGTTTAACCACTACAGAGACGTACGAGTCAGCGGCAAACATCAGAACGACTAGCCGAGGAAAGGCTGTTCCAGGCGGGGGACACGAGCGCGAGCGTCCGGTGATCGCTTGGAATGGATCTCTGTTAAATTATCATATAAATCTATAAATAAACCACAGATTTGATCTTTAAAAAACTACTTTCTCGCCTGAAAAACTATTAAAACTACATTTCGTGACACAATAACAGTAGAATTATATTTCAACTGTTTCAACCGCGAGTGACGATACTCTGTCCACCAATCACCGTTCTGCAGTGAGTCTAGCTCCACCTTTTAGTACCCTTTCACTGTGCTAGGTACCCCAACGGAAGGGTACCAGAGAATGTCTAATTGAAGATAATTGGCACTGCCTGGTTACTTCCGGGTTCTGGACTGATTGCAGTAACACGTCTCTGTCCATGCGGTCGAGTGCAGAATGAATGGGAGTCAATGGGGTTTCACCCCCATAAATCCACTTTTCTCAGGATGTAATTTTTTGTCAAGTAATTTGAAAGTTGCATTCAAAAGGGAGGGCTAAGAAAATACACTCAGCTGAAAATTGCATATTTAAGTTCACTTATCTGTTCTAAAAATCCGTTCAAAAATGTGATGACGTCACACAATAGCAGAACACCCTAACCTGTAAGAAATCAAAAGGACATAAGTACTCGTTCATTCGACTTTTGGCCTATAATCTATATTGAACTTGCGTAATCAATAATAAAATCTATGTTAATTTAACGACAAGCAGGTGAAAGAGACACTTTTAGCCGTTTAGCCCCATAGACTCCCATTCATTCTGCGCTCGCCCGCGATCACCTCCAGTGGAATTCTAATGGAACTGCAACCAAGATAATACACAACGGGGCTAATAGGAAGTGCCAAGGCTCTCCGTTAGTTAGGCTCTGAGGGTACCTAAAAAGTGGTACGGAACGGTTCGGCTTTTTGGTACCATTCACAACTTTTGACAGTGGAAACGCAAATAATTGCGTACCGAACTGTACCGTACCACTCAGTGGAAACGAGCCATTAAAGCCCTGTTTTAAGATCGTTTCTGATTAAATAGAATGGTTACATTCAAATATAAAAACATTATCATCTGATCATTCCACACATTAGCAATTGGCTATGGCAGATCCTGAGTGACTCTGGGCTGATCCAATAGTTTTGAACTTTAACAGAGAACCCACAAGGAAGTAAACGTTTCTCAAATGGAGAGAGGCCAGACTCTCTGTACAAATTAAATGTACAACAGTCTGGTTGAACCTGGCTAGTCCAGCCTTAGACACATTCAAAGGTATAAAAAATAAATAAATAAAAAATAAATAAATGATTATTTACCTTCGGATTTTATTCATATTATGTTCACTGGCTATTTTATTTTTAAATGTATTTTGTTGTTTTCATGAAACTGTTGGCTGACAATAAATCTCATTATACATTGAGGTCCAACTTTATTCACCAAGATCCGGTGAATTTATGTAAGGGTAAATATATTTTTAATCCATATATTATATATATTATTACTGTGCATTATTAATTGTTATAATAGTGGATTTGGTCCAGTGCGTAGATGTGATTTACTGAATGCGGCCCCTTTAAGAAATATGACACCGCGCGCACTGAGCATGCGCGGAAGAGAGAAGCGCGAGAACCTTTGAATAGCTTTGTTTTCTTTTTTCTGTCTCTCTCTTTCTTTTTGTTGTTTTATTTGACGCTGCTATAAATGTTATAGTCGAACACTTTGTCATCCACTGTAAGTGTATATTATGTTAAAGATCTTGTTAATGCAATAAAAAAGAGAGAAGCGCGAGAGACACGAGACAAGAGCTGAAACTTTACCAGTTGAGGCTGAAAGTGACGCTGTTAACGATCATGAATGAAGAGCAAATGTGAAATATATGCCGCATATTTCTAGTCTGCAGGTGAGAGTTGTTATATTTATCATGAAAGAATTTTGTGTTGCGCAAATGTACAGTTCGTAGCATAATAACGTACAGAGAATTAAATCATTAACGTTCGTATTGATTAGCGTAATAAGTTTATTTAATGTTAGGCAATGCTACATAACCGTATCAACATTATTTATATTTATTAAATCAAGCACATATGGCCATTTCATTTAATAAGTGTAATTATTAAAGTATAAACTCAGTAACCTTGAATTTGGCAGATCTGCCGTCCCTCACAATAGTTCACCAATTAAGAAAGTTTAAGCCTAGTTCAACCAAAAATGCAATATATGATAAATGAAATTAAATAATGAGCAATATGTGATAAATTATTCTGAAAAAAAACCCCCAACAC